TCTGTCCGGGACCCTCTATGTGATCCCTGTCAGAGCAGTCAGTGGTGATAACTGGGCTCAGGCTGGTGGAGGCTGTGGCTCATGTGGTCCGTTAGTCCTTTAGACTAATATTTTCCTTGTGTCTTTGGTTTTCTTCATTCTCCTTTCCTCTGAACGTGATGGGACCAATAGATGTATCTTAGATGGCTGCTTGTAAGCTTTTAAGACCCCAGACGATACCAAAATAGGATGTAGAATATTTTCTTCATGAACTGTGTTATGCCAGTTGACCTAAATGTCCCTTGAGACCATGGTCCCCAGCCCTCAGCCCCAGTAACTCAGTCCAGCAAGGTGTTTGGGTTTGTCTAGGAAGCTTCTGTGACTTTGCTTTGATCAAATTGTGCTGCCTTTCCCTATATTGTGTGTTGTCTCTCCCTTCACCAAAGTTAATTTGTCTACTATCTAGTTAGTGGTTCCCCTCCCCATCCCTCCTCTCCCTTGTAAGCATCAAAGATTGTTTTTTTTCCTGTGTGTAAACCTTTTCTTGGGTTTTTATAATAGTAGTCTCATACAATATTTGTCCTTTTGTGATTCTCTTATTTCACTCAGAATAATACCCTCCAGATTCATCCATGTTGTGAGATGTTTCGCGGATTCATCCTTGTTCTTTATCATTACATAATACTCCATTGTGTGTATGTACCATAATTTATCGGTTCATCTGTTGATGGAAACTCGGTGTCTTAGTCATCTAATGCTGTTATAACAGAATTACCACAAGTGGATGGCTTCAACAAAGAGAAATGTATTCTCTCACAGTCCAGTAGGCTGCAAGTCCAAATTCAGGGCATCGGCTCCAAGTCTCTGTCGGCTCTGGAGGAAGGTCCATGTCATCAATCTTCCCTTGGTCTGGGAGCTTCTCTGCGCAGGAACCTCAGGTCCAAAGGACACACTCTGCTCCTGGCACTGCTTTCTTGGTGGTATGATGTTCCCATGTATCTCTGCTCCCTTCTCTCTTTTGTATCTCGAAAGAGATTGGCTTAAGACACTATGTAATCTTGTAGACCTCATCAGTATAACTGCTGCTAATCCATCTTATTACATCATAGTGATAGATTTTACAACACACAAGGAAATTGCATCAGATGATAAAATGGTAGACAATCATATGATACTGGGAATCATGACCTAGCCAAGTTGATAGATATTTTGGGGGGGACACAATTCAATCCATGACACGGGTTATTTCCATGTTTTTGCTATTGAGAATAATGCTGCAGTGAACAGAGTATGCATATGTCTATTCTTGTCATGGCTCTTATTTCTGTAGGATATTTTCCTAGGAGTAAAGGTAAACTTTTTTTAAGACAAAAAAAGAGAAAATAACCAATTTACCACCAGAGATATACTGGAAAATTTTTAATTAAAATCAGTTATTAGTGAGATAAAATATGTATGCTTTCTTCGTCTTCTTCCTTTTGCTAATGAATTAATGTATGAAATCATATTTAACATACGAGGTTAAAAATTTTAAATCTTCATCACCAGACATTTTCACTTTCTGTTAAAAGTAATGTTAGTTAAAACTATGCTGTTAATGCCTTTAATCACCCAGATCAGTAAATTTCCCCCTTTCTCCCTAAATGTCTCTTCTTTTACTTTATTTTCTCTCTCAAACAGGATATAGAACATCTGTATGCTATCCCAGCAGCCTCACCCAACTTTCACTAACCTTTCAGACTGTGGTTATGAAATAAAAGTTGGTTTCTATATACCATGCTTTAGTAAGGACTCTTCTAGGAATAAGTGGTAGAACTTCACCTCAAATTTTTTTTTTAAAGCAGGAAGTAGTGATGGTGGGAATTTATGTCATATGTAACTGGGTTGGTTTCTGTGATGTGCCAACTAGATCCACCCTCAGAAATGAAGGATTTACTCTGCTACTTTAGGCACCCACAGGGATGGTGTCAGTGAAGAGCAATGTCTTGGCCTAGGTCATTCAGGACAGATCTGAAAGGTCATCCCAGCTTCAGATCTCCCCGCAGAACTGCTGAGGCCTTGTTGTGACAGCATCATAATTCAGCTGCAAAGAATAAGATGCACAGCAGAGAAAACGGGCAGAAATCCATTTCTCATCATCACCAGGAACAAAATTCATTGGGAATCTTGGTATAGAAACATACCTCCCTTTCTTCAGCAATTTCACAATTTCTTGGAACAAATTAGGAGCCTAATTTTTAATTTGATGCATCAAAAAAGAATCTTAGGGCACAAAGTCAGGGAATTGCCTGGAAATATGAGTCTGCTTCTCCCTTTTGTCTCAGCCAGAGGTGTCTAGGATTTCAAACACAAGCTGGAGTGTGTTAGTCATCACTGCCTACTGGGATAGTCATCACTGCCTACTGGGATAATGAGTATTTCCTTATGTTCGCCATAGTCTAGCTTGACACTAACAGCTTAGAAGACAATGGAAGCAAAGGTAGTTTGGGGAAAAGCAGCTGTTAGCTAAAAGCATTGAGGCTCAGCTTTCTTCACTCTTCACCTCCAATCAATGCCAGTCAACTAACACCTGTTTCTCCATTGTCCATCCCTGTCTTACCAAGAGTAGTGCACATTACGTTTTTTCTTTTAACAATGTTTTCCCAAAAAAAGTTACTTTCCATAAAGAAAGATTTTACTGTTCATCACAACCAATCTCTTTTTCTCCAGCTGTGAAGCTGATTGAGCTTCTTAAGGCTCTCAAGAAATCACTACTCACAGCTCTGTGATTACTTTTATAAAAGGAGAAAAAAGCAATAAGAGGGAATGGTAGATTATGCATGGAAAATATTCCTTTTTTAAAAAAAAATTTCTTCTCAAATAGTGGAGGACAAAAAAGGGAGCTGTAAAATGCTCAAATAAATAGGTTTATGTGCAACAGGGGAGATTATTTCATAGTGTATGAACATTTATAACTCTCTTCCTAGTAGAAGGTAGATGAAAATGTGGGACAGACTTGAAGATTTAGTAGGAAAAGGAAAGATGAACCACTAGGCAGGGGAAGAGAAAAGGGGAGACATGTACAGAGGAGAAGACTTGGCTAGTTTCAAAGAGTTTAATGGAGTAGCAATCCTCCCTATGGAGGAGTTTGGGAGGGGAATAGATAGGGAGAGCAGATTTTTAAAGTGTTTTATTCCTCATTAAGCATATATGCCTGCCTTCTTTAATGACATGAAAATATGAGTACAGGTCTAAATTGCTTTTTGTGTCAGTGAAGATCCACTAAGGCAAACAAAAACCACCATATTTCAACAGAGGCAGTTTCATACCACTGATTTGTTACATGGGTGATGGAAAAGTGGAGACTTTAAGCAGAGGGTGCTGAGGTAACTCAAAGATGAACAACTATGGGAAGCAGTTACCCTCCAACTCTCATGGTTGGAGGGAAACTGGTAGGAGGTGGTGTAACTCAAGCCCAGCCAGGGCCATCTGGCAGGAGTTAGAACTACAGTGGTAATGGCCGGTAGGAGCTGGTGCCACAGAGAGAGGGGATGATTTGTGGGGGCTGGAGCATCAGTGGAGATACAGCCACTTCCAAGATGCCACTTGAAGCAGAAAGCTAGAGGAAGAACTACTCTGGCTTCTCCCCTTCTTCTCACCCTCCAATTTGACTGAACATATTAGAAGCCAGAGGGTCAAGAACACTGGCAAATATAATTCCCTCTGAATCACAGCAGAGTAAAGAAAGGATGAGGAGTGCATCCGGGAGCAAAGAGGCAAGTGACTAACACATGTTTTGATTGTCTAACAATCATGTTTTCATTGTCTTTGAATTCATCTCTGTGTGGGATGGAGGCATGAGGCAGACAGCCATTTATGTGGGTTACACGTATTCCAACAGCAATGAATGTCAGAGTTTAGTGCCTTTCCTTAAATATTTAAAAGTAAAAACAATATTACTTTGTTAATTGTCATAATTTTGGGCGGCTGACCCTAGTGGTTCATAGACATCAGCCGAAAGAGTTCATGCCTCTTCTTCTTTCTGTTTCCTCCTGCTCCTCCAATTTCTTCTTTCACTTCCCTATTAGCTATATCTGCTGTACAACCACCCTTTTGCAATTATTTGATCAAATAGCAGGGTTACCACCGAGCCTTCCTGTTTCTTTCATATCCTGAAGACTCAGTAGCACCTGGGTGGGGGGAAAAGTGCTACAGCTGGCTTCTGGCATCTACCACATTTAACATGCCTTTGTTCTGACCTTGTTTACATGCCTGGCCTAAAGGATGTCATGTCTGCCTGGGGACACTGTAGTCATTTGAAAATTTTGGTACATCTGTTATATTTTCATTTCCTGTAGTTGTACACAAAGTGATTTAGGATGGGGTTGGCACAGTAAGACTTTTGTGTGTGTGTGATTAAAAACATAGACTTTGGAGCAAAGTTCTTTGGGTTTCAAACTCCACTATTTCCTAATTGTATGACCTTGGCCAAGTAACTTAACTGCTCTGGGCCTCATCTGTAAATGTGATCATAATAATAGAACTATAGGGTCGCTATGAGTCAGAATCAACTCGACAGGAATGGTTTTTTTTTTTTTTATAGGTGTTGAGTTTTAAAGATCAAGTGATTTGATATACAAATATATATATATAGCATATATTCATATATATGTCATATTCACATATATATCTATTATCTGTTGCTTAGAATATTATATGGCACATAGTAAACATTCTATAAGTACCAACCATCACTATTGTCATTACCTTTTTTCAACAAAACTGTAAATACTGCTCCAGCCTGTCAAAAGTGCTGGTTTTACCCAGCACCCAGTCATGGTTAGTTGGGTGCCTTTTAAAAATTGCTATTGATAATTGATTAGTCTAAGTCAGTTATCACTGTAAAATACGTCCCATAAATTTCATTGCCATTTGTCTCTCAGTTGTAGAAATTGGTTTCATTTTTCGCTCTGCTTAGTTGTGATTGGATCATGGCCCACCTAGTTTCTGTAGTTTTTGTAGGTTAAAGATGTAAATTTGTTATGGAAATAAGCTTCTTAGTTGACCAATGATTAGCTAATTTCTGATAATAGAAAAGGAAGCAGATTGCTTGAGGCTGCTGTTTTCATTTCCTCACGAGAAGAAGAAGTACAGTGTAGAAGAAAGGCAGACATAACACTTTGAACCTCTGCCACCATGGCGAACTGGTTTGTGAATGAGGGACTCTCCATCTTCGTCATTGTAAGTACCAATGGGCAAATGAATTATGAATTTTCTGACTTGTTTGAGTTTTTAGGGGGAGCTAAGGTGGAAGAAAGCTTTATATGTCTTGTTTATTTGAGAAATCATGTTGTAACTGATTTACTCTGTGAACATATATTTATCTGTAAGCAGACTGAGTCCACTGCCAAATTTCTTAATGGAAAGAATGTACTTAGGGGCCTCATTTCTTCTAGCTTATTTCTTGAGTTCCTTGTAGTACTAAATTAGCCAGCAAGTCACAGAGGGAGTAGAAAAATTTCATGCTGATGACCTCTGATTCTGAGTTGTTTGCTAGTTATCGGTGAGAAGCAAATTCTCTACTTTTATGCATTTATAACATTGAAAATGGCCAACTAAAATTTTGTACTATTTTCCAAATAAGAAGCACAAGAATGGCTTGTTTATGGGAAGTTTATAGCCTTTATTTCAGTAATTACATAAAAAATAATTTTAAGTTCTCAACTTTATTTTTCAAAGAAGCACTTTGTTTTCTCTGAGGTCTAAACTTGAATTATTTGTGAGGTTTATAAAAATGCAAGAAAAGGGAATTTAAATAAGCTATCTAAATTATAAATCCATATAATCTATCTTGAGAAATAATTTTTGTAATAAAAAGATGTAGCTAATTCTCCAATAGACATTATTTTCTGTGCTTTTAAATATAAAGACACAAACTATTCTCTTAAGATGGTGATCTCAACAAAGCAATCATGGGCAAGTTAGGCAAATAGAAATGCAATATCTAAAGAAAACCTTTACAAATAGCCAATGGAAACATAAAACAGACGCTTAAAAGAACACTTATAAATTGAACTGTTAAAAGAGTTTTATCATGAAGTACATTGAGTCTTTGAGTTTTAGAGATAGAAAGATGTATGTGCACAAACAACATAAAAACAAAAAATATTGTCATTTTAAAAAAGCACGTTTTATGCCAAACCAACATTCTAATGCAATATAGATTTCTTCTGAGGATTTAGAGCTATGAACTTGATATTCTAATCACCATTTTAAGAGATTACTTCTGTAAAAAAACAAGTTCGAATTATGATTTTTAGTTTCCACCACAATTTCCCCTAGGAAATAATCTCCTTCTAGAGATATATACTAGAAATTCAAAACAACTTGGAAAGCAAGAGTAAGAAGAATGACAAGTTCAGGAAATGGAGAAGTCACTTCAGTACCTTCTTCTTTGTAAAGAGGGACAGGTTTCTGATCTCAGCATCTATAGGCTTTTAATAGCTTCAAAGCACAGTAAGAAATGGAGCTGAGGGTGGAGAACTGGGGAGTGTCACCACTTGGTGTAGTCAGTGCTCGGAATGAAAAGAACAATCACTCCCTAGAAGGATCTCTTTGTTTTTAAATCCCATGCCCTTCACCCCCCCCCACCCACATTTTTGCTCAGTATCCCCTCATCCAAACGGGAAGCATGCTGTCACATTGTGGGGATTGCAACCAATGTCACAAAACAATATGTGTATAAATATTTGAATGAGAAATTAACTTGACCTGTAAACTTCACCTGAAGCACCATAAAAAAACAAAAAAGTTAAGGAAAAGTTATCAAAATGAATAAGACTTGGCATTTTAGTTGGCAAAACTCCCGTCAGCTGGGATGAGGTGCTACATGGTGGAAAGAGGTGACAGAGCACAATGTCCTACTAGTGTGGGAAAGAGTAATAGTCATATATTCCTCTTTTATATTTTTAAGAGACATCTGCTATTATCTACCTATCGAAGGTTAAGAAGGAAAGAGGAAAAAGGGAGGAGGGGAGATAGACTGAAAACAACTTGGCATATTGGTCAAGAAGTAAAACAATCATGGGGGACAAGACAGGGTGGGAAAGTAAATTACAAAGAAGTATGGTGACACTGTGTTAGGCAAGCGCCGGATCTAAGCTGGTTATACCCAGTTTTGTAACCACCTTTGTCCAAGGCTGCACTTGGGGAAATTCTGACCTCAGAAGGTCGGACTCCAACCTTGTGTACAATTTACCTGTTGAAATGTAAAAAATTCACTCAACTATTTCTGTTTATGCAGCTGGTATGGCTGGGGATGAATGTCTTCCTCTTTGTCTGGTACTACCTGGTTTATGATGTTCCAGTTAAATTCTTTTATACTCGAAAACTTCTTGGGGTAAGTATAAGTTCCGTCTCTTGCAAGATTGGCTGGCTCACATTTCTCATCAGACATTCTTGTTTGTATTTCCTCACATTTTAAGTAAATATTCTGATCAATAAATATTCAACACCATCAGCCTTACTTACTTCATTGCACCTTCCTGGGCAAGATTCTCTTAATACCTTCCAGTATAGAGCAAACAAAAATAGGACAAAGGGTCCCAGCGGCATCCCTTCCCTCTCAAAAGCCATGGTGCCATTGTTTTGATTAAAGGAGAAATCTAATACAGACTCTGAAATGTAAAGCCAAGCCGTAAAGATCAATCCAGGGGTGACACATGTGGAACAAGTGGGTCTTTCCGTAGTCTCTAAATCATCCAATTCCTACTACTATTTTTTTTTTGTGAAAAGTCCTGCTCCTGGGTGACATGTTATGAAATGATCTTCAGAAAATCAGTCTCTCTCTACAAATGGAGTCTTTGAGGAATTTTCTGAAGGGCCATATCTTTGAATAGGACAGCAGAGTAGAGGCCCCCTGAGTTTCCTTGGGTACTTAACATTCTCAGTTTCCTTGAACTGCTAGCCTCTTCTTCATCACAAATGAATATAATCACAATTGCTGCCACCCCCATAGAATATCATTTGTTACATCCTGCTGGAACTATGAGTTAATTAATATTAATTATAATATGCATTATGAGTTGTATGTATAAGTGATTATAATATATAGTACAGTTTTATAATTGCTGTTAACTTATTCATGTTGATTCTGAGAAGAATGGCTTTTCTTTGTTTCCTCTCTCCAAAATATGGCATTTCAAAGATAATAATTATTCAGGCATTACAAAGATAATAACTCTAATGTCAGAGCATTACACCATACTAACTTGAGTACTATTAAGGTTAGTCTAAGTGCTAAGAAAACCTTTGATAAAATCTTAAAAAGGCCCAGTTATAATATTGAGCTCTAGTTAATGATATGAATGCTGAAGTATTTAGGGGAACATGAACCGTTGTCTGCAATTTATTTTGAAACGCATCAAAAAAAAATAAGGTGAGTTGATGTATGAATTGAGGGATGAATAGATGGATAGATACATGATAAAGGAAGCATAGTGAACAGCTGCTCAGGAAAGATGGTGGTAAAGGGAAACCATCCCCATGGGCAAGTCTCTGCAGGGTAGTTTTAATTTTCTAGAAAATATGGAAGGAAAAGTGGACTGACATTCAGATATACCCTGATTCATGTCACCAGGATTGGAAAATTGGTGAAGTAAATGTATATGGTGGAATCTGGGAGATGGGTAAACAGATGTTCATTGTAAAACTCTTACAACTTCTCTATATGTTTGAAATTTCCATAATAAAATATTGGGATTGTGGGAAAAGGTCAGTTTCACATCAAAGCAAAGACTCCCAGTGGGACCTAAAGGAAAACTCTTGTCCCTGAAGGACTTTTCCTTTCTGGATAATTTGATGTCTCTGATGTGTGGGCCTCATGCTGGGAACCCTGGGGAGGTTGGAGATACGTACTGTGCTCACAGGAATCATCCGACTGTATATCCTGCTTCTTCCAGTCTGCCCTGGCATTTGCCCGGGCCCCTGCAGCCTGCCTGAATTTCAACTGCATGCTGATCCTGCTGCCGGTCTGTCGAAATCTGCTGTCCTTCCTCAGAGGCTCCAGTGCGGTAAGAGAAAACAATGTTCACTAAATTCCTCGAATTTTCAAAGACCATCAAGCTAAATGCCTTTTCTTAGGAAAAGCAAACCAACCAATGGTTTTTGAAGATTTCAGCCTCTGTACAATATTTATAAGCCAAGTCATGCCTGATGGTCTATTTTATTTCTACATTATTTGGGGATAGAGTTCCCTGAGACAACCATTTAACCTGGACCAGACATTTAAAAAACAACCAACCAACCAACCAACCTATACCTCAACAATAAACCAAAAAAAAGAAAACCCAAACCCTTTGCCGTGGAATTGATTCTGACTCATAGCGACCCTATAGTACAGAGTAGAACTGTCCCATAGGGTTTCCAAGGAGTGGCTGGTGGATTCAAACTGCCAAGCTGTTGGTTAGCAGCCTGAGTTCTTAACCACCGCGCTACCAGTGCTCCAACCATAGCAATGAGAAAATATGTGTACATACATATATATAAATGGAGTGCCTGGGTGGGACAAATGGTTAACACTATTGGCTGCTAATCAAAATGTTGCAGGTTTGAGTCCACCCAGAGGTGCCATGGAAGAAAGCCCTGATGATCTTCTAAAAAATCAGCCATTGAAGACCGTATGGAGCACAGTTCTACTCTGACACGCATGGTGTCACCATGAATAGGCATTGACTCGATGGCAACTGTATATATGTGTGTGTGTGTGTATATGTATATATGTAATATACACTCATGTGCATGCACACACATATATAAATGGAGTTTTATTTAAGGCTGACATATAATAGTAATGTATATATAATATATATATTATACACTCATGTGTGCATGCACACACATGTATATAAATGAGACTTTATTTAAGGCTGGAATGTACCATTTGAAAATTAACTTCGCAGTGTCATTTTTTTTCTAAATTTTTAAGTCAGAGAAGATATATTTTGTGGAAAATATCCCAAGCAGATGGAAATGATGGACAATTGAGTCACGTTCTAATGAATGTGACTAAGAAGGATTGCCTCCATGGAACTGTGGAGTGCTGAGTTTTCTAAATTACCAGGGCTCCTTTCGCCCTCACTTTAACAATTTATTGAGCCCCTAAATGTGCTATGCTAAAAGGAAAAAAGATTATGTAGGCAGAGCCTTTGTAACCTATAAAATCGTCTACAATTTTTTACTGGTATTACTACACAAAATATGACAAGTCCCACAAGATATTACAAGTAAAGAGCTATTGGAAATCAAGGAGGGAGAAATTATCTCAGCTGGGGCAGGTGATAAAGAAGTATCTTAGAGAAAATGGCATCAAAGATGAGCATATAAGGATCAATAAGCCTCTAAAAGGTGTAAATGAGAAAGAAAGGCTTTCAGCATGGAGAAAAGGGCATGGGGGAAGTACAGAAGTGGGAAACTAGAGATCAGTTATAGGGGAGTCAAACCCACTGCTGTCAAGTGGATTCTGACTCATAGCCACCCTTTAGGATAGAGTAGAACTGCCCCACAGTGTTTCCAAGGCTATAATCGTTACAGGAGCAGACTGCCACACCTTTCGCCCGTGGAGCAGCTAGTGAGTTTGAACTGTTGACCTTTTGGATGGCAGCTGAGCACTTTAACCACTGCACAGTTAAGGCTCCTTTGCAAACTGACAGCTGAACGAAAACAAAAACTAAAAACAGCACTTAGTATTAGCAATGACATTGACTTCAACAATCTCCAAATAAGCTTCTCAACCTAAGAAACCACAATGGTAAAATTCCACCGGATTCAAAGTTTTGTTGATGAGCCCATTCTAAAGTATAATATCTGGTGTATTGAAGGTGATCAATGATCATGTGTTAAATGAAACCCATGCGCTGTAGTTTTTATTTAAAGCAGACAGGACTCTTTCTCCTCACCTCCCCTGTTCAAATACTTTCTGTTTAGAGGAAGCCAATTCTGAGAAACAGGCAGCGTTTTCACCAGGACGGCCTGTTAAGAAACCCTTGTTACTCCATAAGCCCAAATTGCACTGCCGTTGAGCTGCCATGTCCCATGAGCAGCCCATGTTGTAATGGCAGCTCTTAGGCTTCCTGTGGTCCAAGGGGAAGATCCTCATCAGTGTCTCTAAAGACAGGCACGAAATGAGTTTGCTCTTCAAATCACAGAGCAGCTCAGCTCTGTAACTAGACAGATCCTTTGTTTTTAAAAAAGAATATATTTTTTTTATAAAACTAGCAGCAAACAACATTCTTTTACATACAAGGTGTGTCTTTCCTTCCCTTATCCCCAACTTGAAATGTGAGCTTTGCAAATGAGAGTTTCCCCCTGGAGATTGAAATGAGTCAGCCTCCTGTCACTAATGTTGGAAATCGTACTGTTGTTGTTGTTGTTAGTTGCCGTCCAGTCAACTCTGACTCATAGTGACCTTATGTATCATAGAATGAAACTTTGCCCAGTCCTGTGCTGCACCATCTTCGTGATCATTGGTACGTTTGAATCCATCGTTGCGACCATTGTGTAGTGCCTTCCAACAGAGGGGGCTCATCTTCCAGCACTATATGGGACATTATTCTTACGTGATCCATGGGGTTTTCATTAGCTAATTTTTTTTTCATTAGCTAATTTTTGGAGTAGATCACCAGGCCTTTCTTTCTAGCCTGTCTTAGACTTAGCCACCACCCATCTGTCAGTTTGTCATAGTGTGGTGACTGTGTGTTGCTGTGATGCTGGAAGCTATGCCACTGGTATTTCAAATACCAGCAGGGTCACCCATGGTGGACAGGTTTTTAGTGGAGCTTCCAGACTAAGACAGACTAGGAAATCATAGTAGCTGTCACTTGTGGAGACTTCATAGACCTCATCTCATGAAATCTTTATATCAAGCCAGTGAGGCGGGAACAAAATTAAATAGGAGAGCTGGGACTCAAACCCAGGTCATTATGCCCCCACAGTCCATTCACTTTCCTACGTGCCTTCTAAACTTCTTGAAACTCTCCTGTTGAGGTATTATGGTCTTCAAAAACCAATCATCTATGTATGAATGTTTGAGCAAGCCAAATAACCTATGCTAGAAATGACAACGATGTTGTAACTTCCAGAATTCATTAGTAGGACACTATGTGAACAAAACCACAGAACTTCTGCTCAGTTTCTAGTGGTCTTAATCCTTTAGACTTTGCTTTGTAAAATCCTTCTGGTTACATTAAGAAAGATAGCCCCAGGTTTGGCCCACCTCAGGGGAGGAAGGGATAAAGGTTCTCTACCTGCTTCGTTGAGGGAGATGGGGAAAGGGTGGGGCTCAAGATATAGAGGTCCCTGAAGAAGCTTTAATAACTTCAACTTGCCATGCAGAAACTAATTTCTAACTGGATGGATAGAAAGAGGAAGGAGAGAGGGTGAGGTCCTATCTGTAACCTTATATAGTCTGGGAGTCAGAGACCTTCAACATGGGTCTATCTCTAAGCATGTAGTCTAGGGCAAGCCTCTTGGACTTTCTGTCTCATAATTTTCTTAGCCAGAAAACAGATAGAATAGTGCAAATGTAAGAATTAAAATGATATTTTAAAAGTATATTAATTGATTCAGTCTGTCAATTAGTGAGTTGTCAGTCAACAATTACTTGTTGAGTGCCAGCTAGGTGCTAAACACTAGGGACATGTGGTGAGTAAAGAGTAAGACATGGATGGCCATGGGCTCGAGGAACTTAGAGTCTTATGTGGGAAATAGATAATAAACAGGTAATTTCAAAATGATAAACAGTACTATTCAATTATAAGGTGGTGTTCTTCATGTTTATCACATATCCGACTGTCGCTAGGTTTGGACATTACTGTCAGCTTCTTAGCCTGAGATCTGTAGTTTCAAGGCCGACTTTTGCAAGTTCTCCCAAATTGCACAAAATATCTAATTCATCATTAATGGTGTGTGTAGTGAGACCAAGTGTACATAAAATAGAGCTTTTAAGTTTCTGTAACGTGAAACTCATACCCCATTAAATACACACTTCTTTTTAGTTCCACTTCCCATTTTTTTGAAATGATTTTTTTTTCTCTCTCAGAGTTTGAATAGAGCATAGAAATCTGCTGAGATGACTCAATACTCTGCCTTGCACTTGAATGTCAGTTTACTGAGATTGGGCAAGGGATAGTAAGAAAGAAACTTCCCTTTAGAAGTCAATGGCAGAAAGCAAGGAGGTACTTCAGTGAGGAAGCTATGGGGTATGATGGTGCCTTGGGTAATTGGTAGGTGGCTGGCAGTAATTTAGAAGTAACTCAAAATCATATAAATGGGATCTGCATGGTGGGAGGAACAAAAAATCAGCCACAAGCAGCAAAGCCCTTCCATCTCACCCCACCAACTGGCTGTCTTGCCCCCTTTTTAGGAAATGGTGATTCAATCACATTCTTGAAAGCCAAGTATATTAGTGTGTATGACTTTTGGTTTCTGTTTGTTTGTTTTCCATCCCTGATTCTGCTAAAGAGGGTGACTGGGAAAAAATTAGGGATTGGTGTGCTGGTGGCTACTAGCCCTTTAGTGATTAGTCACCCCTGTTATCCTTTTAATAAAACGTATGTGTTTTATATTAACTAACTTAAAAAAAAACTTATTAAGATAAAACAGTATTATTGAGTGGACCTTGTATTTCCCAAGCACATCACTTCATTGTTCTGACATTCTGTTTATTTTTCTCCAAGGATCTGTCGCTAAACCTGGTAAGGGGGTTCAATATCTATTGTTTCACATTTTTGATTATCCATGTTGATGACAATGAAAATAAGATCGTGGAGACAACGTAGGGACCACAATTAAACCACATTCTTTTTCTTCAATTCAGCATGTGGAGCCAGTGTGTTTTTCCCCCCAAAGTTTCGAAAGGATTTATTAGGAAGTAGAAAAGAAAGCAGTGTGGCAAGTATAGATATGGGGGTGAATATTCTCAACAGGTTTAGGGAGCATGATGTCCTTCTCCAGGGACTGGTCCCTCCTGATAACATGTCCAAAGTATGTGAGACAAGTCTCACCATCCTTGCTTCTGAGGAGCGTTCTGGCTGTACTTCTTCCAAGACAGATTTGTTCTTTCTTCTGGCTGTCCATGGTATAGTCAATATTCTTCACCAACACGGTAATTCAAACGCATCGATTCTTCTTCAGTCTTCCTTATTCACTGTCCAGCTTTCACATGCATATGAGGCGATTGAAAATACCATGGCTTGGGTCAGGTGCAAGACCTTCAACAAGATGGATTGACACAATGGCTGCAACAATGGTCTCAAACATAGCAATGATTGTGAGGACGGCGCAGGACCAGGCAGTGTTTCATTCTGTTGTACATAGGGTGGCTATGAATTGGAACCGACTCAGCGGCACCTAAGAACAGCAGGTTTAGCATAATCATCTTCGTTTCTAGGGCAGTGAAGGTGTAATTCATTTATTCAACAAAATAATTATTCAAGGATTTTTAAAAGTACATGACATGTTGCTCTGCCTACAGGAAGTTGAAGGAGCCCTCGTGGCACAGTGGTTAAGCACTCAGCTGTAACTGAAAGGTCAGTGGTTTGAACCCACCAGCCACTCAGCAGAAGAAAGATGTGGCAGTTTGCTTCAGTAAAGATTACAGCCTTGGAAACCCTATGGGGCAGTTCTACTCTGTCCTGTAGGGTTGCTGTGAATCGGAATCGACTCGACAGTAACGGGTTTGGGTTTTTTTTTGGTTTTACAGGAAGCTTATCCTCTAGCTGGGGAGCCAAGCCATACTAGAAGAAAAGTTAAATAATGGTACAAAAGAACATCAGATATTTATTTATCACCTTTCAATTAATCTATGCAACAGACCTATGAGGGAAGAACTATGATAAATATATGGGTGAGGAAACGAGAGACTGAGTAGATTGTTCAGGGTCTTACAGCTAGGTGGTAGGGCTGGTATCCAACATAGGTATATCTGACAGCAAAACATCCTTCTCTGAAATGTAACCCAGAATTGTTTTTCAACACTAATTCCCATTCTCTGATACTTAGGATTCCAATTAAGTGTCATCATTCCTATAAGAACTGTGTTAGTTTTCTGTTGCTATGTTAGAAATTACCACACATTTCATGGCTTTAAATAAAACACCCTTTTGAGCTAATAAGCTCTGAGTTCTGTAGGTCAGAAGTCCAGCATACCATGGCTGGGTTATCTCTGCTTAGGGAATCACAAAACTGAAATCAAGGTGTTGACTGGGCCGAGTTCTCATCTGAAAACACTGGGTAAGAATCTGCTTCCAAGCTCATTTTTGTTGGCAGAATTTAGTTTCTTGCAGTCGCAGGACTCAAGTTCCCAGTCTTCTTGCTGGCTGTCACCTGGGGGTCACTCTCAGCTCTTGGAAGCCCTTGCATTCCTTGGCACGTGCCCCCCTTCAAGCCAGCAACAGCGTGTGAATCCTTCGCGTGCTTTGAATCTCTTGACTTCCTTGGTCTCTGACTTCTAGACCCAGATTTAAAGGGCTCATTTGATAAGGTCACCTGAGTTGGAAACTTAATTACCTCTGAAATATCCCTTTTTCCATATAATGTAACAAAATCACAGAAATGATACAGCATCATAGTCACAGCTTCTGCCCACACTCAAGGGGAGGAGATTATACAAGAGTGAGGGTCATAGTGTGTCATCTTAGAAGTCTGCCTGCCACGGGGACTCTTAGAAACTACGGAGGAACCAAGAAATTGGGAAATAGGAAGAAGAAGAAGAAGAAAAGATTTCCTTAAAATTATAAAGAATACAAAGTAGCAAATAAACTTTCAGCACTTGAAAGCAACACAGAAGATGCCCAGAGGCTATATAAGAAAACAATCAATTTTTCACCACCAGACATGTAAAATCAGTATTTTCAAGAAGGAACTCTTTGTTCTGAGAGTCTGAGTCACTAATCAGCTCCACTGGTGGACACTTAGTTGTAGCTGATGCTGTCGGTGCCCCGCCCATATCCCCTCTGCATTGACAGTTCCAATATATGGGACAGCACTAGTGATTCTCTGCCTGAAGATTTTCTTTCAGCCCTCACTTAGGGAAAGACTGAAATGCCAGAGAGTTGATGCCCTGGGAGTAGCCCTCAGCCGATGATGGATGGGAGTTGGTGGATAAATACCCCAGTTCCCTAACCTCTTGGGTAAAATAACTCTGGGGTGTGTTCTACCCAGTCACCCAGAGTTCCCTAGTGGGATTGAGCCAACTGATATAGTGATAGCTGGTATATAATGCACTCTCTATTGATTTCCTTTTTGTTTCTGTCTCACTCCCCACTTCCCTACCCACATTTTCTAGTACCACCTTCCAAATACCATACTTACATTTAAATTCTTGTCTCTGGTTTTTAGACCCTTAGAATAACAGTGACTATATCTTTGCATTTAGTTTGGTGGAAAAGGACATGAACCTTAAAGACAAATAGATCCCAACCATTGTGAAATTTTAACCTTAGTTTTCTTATCTGTAAAATGAAGACAATAACGTGTACCTCATTGCATTAAATGAGGTAATGATTATAAGTAACATGCCTGGCTCACAGAAAGCACTCAATAAAGCCTAATTTTTTCCTTTTTCTAGAATCCTCAATATCTTCCTTTCTAGTTACCCTGTTTCCTAGGGCAGCTATAACAAATACCACAAAGTGGGTGGCTTTAAAGAACAGAAATTGATTTTCTTGATGTTCTGGAGGCTAGAAGTCCAAATTCAGGGCATTGGCAAGGCTAGGCTCCCTCTCAGTTTGCTTTAGAGGAAGATCCTTGTCTCTTTCAGCTTCTGTAGCCCTGGGTGTTTCTTGGTGCTCCTTGGCTTGTGTTTTTCTATGTTTTTCTGCTCTTTTTAAATGCGCCACTCAGAAGGGATTAGGTTTAGGACTCAACCTGTTCTGGTATGATCTCATTAACATTAACAAAAGAAAAACATCCTCTTTCCAAACAAGGTCACACTCAGAGGTACAGGGGTTAGGACTTCAACATATTTTGGGGAGGACACAAATCAATCCACAACACTAATTTTTCTGCAATTCCAGGAATCTACTCATGTTCCAAACAGCCTCATCCCCTTAGGTATGGTTAGTTGAGAGATAGTGGAGTAAGCACAGTTTTCCATGTAATTATATTTTTCTTTAAAATCAGAAATTTTTATTAAAATAAGCCAAATATTAAACACTCCTATACTTAAATTTAGGAGTGTTTAATATTTGGCTTATTTTAATAAAAATTAAACACTCCTATATTTAAATTTAGACCCCTGGTGGCGAAGTGGTTAAGCATTCAACTGCTAACCAAAAGGTTGTTAGTTCGAATCCACCAGCCGCTCCTTGGAAACCCTATGGAGCAGTTCTACTCTGTCCTACAGGGTCGCCCTGAGTCCGAATCAACTCGATGGCAATGGGTTGTTTTGCTTTTGTATATTTAAATTTAATTGAATGTGATGTTCAAAACCAGATATTTTAAATATCCAAGAACTTTTTGGCATTTTACTTTCCTCTTAAAGTTCTCTGAATCTCAGTGATAGTGTGTTTAGACTCAAGAACAAGGCAACCAGCATGAGCAGTTGGACAGTTTTCAGCAGGGCAAAGCTTTGACTCAACCATCAACCAAGTTTTTTTTCTGCTTTGAATATTGGCCTGAATCCAGATCCAAAGCCACATTTTCTAGCATATGCAGTTAATTACACTAAGTATGGACCCAAATACTATTTTTATGTCAAGGTAATCATATAAGGTATGAAATACTAAAATATGATATAAGCTCTGGTATCAGAGTCTGGGTTGACCTAAGGCAAGTTAAGTGCTCTATACCTTTGTTTCCTCATCTATTGTGTATTGATAATAATGACACCTCACTCATAAGATTGATGTAAGAATTAAATGAGTCAATGCATGTAAAACACTTAAAGCAGCTGCTTGCACAAGCTCTTGGCAAATGTTATCTATTATTATTTTGTCAATTATCTTTCTTGCAATGTTATTTCTGATCTGCATGGGCAAGTGGACCCTTGTTTCTTCTCCCATAGTGAGTGTGTCTTAAAACCCTGTTGTTCTGGAACCATTCACTTGTTCTAAAACTGTTCACTTGTCTATGTCCTCACTAGGCTGTCAGGTGTTTGAAGGAAGGCCCACTCCTTTATTTATATCACCTGTTTATTGGATAAATTAATCTGAACTAGAAAATATATGGTTAGATATATTTTCTATCCAAATTCATATTTTTATAAAGTTAAGCAATTAAATCCAGAAGAGAATTTGCATGTCACTGGTGTGAGAACAGAAAACATACTGCTTAACATGGCTATGCCGCTTACTGACACTGTGACCTTGGACAGACGACTGAATCTCTCTGAGCCTCAGTTTTCTCATCTATCAAATGGGGATAATGATAGTACTTTGTAGGGTGGTTGTGAGACTTAAATGAGATGATAAATATAAAATGTAGAAAGCTTTCTTGTTAACAATTACTATCCCATTCTTTTCCTCTTAATCCAAAGTGCTGCTCAACAAGAATTCGAAGGCAATTAGACAGGAATCTCACGTTTCATAAAATGGTGGCCTGGATGATTGCACTTCACACTGGTGAGTTTATTAAGGCATTTTTAGATTGCAAAGAAAACTTGGAACCAGAGAGTTCCCTCTGTTTTCAGATACTTTTTGTAGGAGACCAGCCTTTACAGGTAGATTAGGTGGTGGATGGCTATGTTGTATATTTTGAATGAGTTCAAAAATATTCACCACAGTTTCTGTCATTCCAATATTAGGATTTATTCCTTTACATCTCAAAAATTTTTATCTTCAGAATTTTCCTGTAAAATTGAAAATACGCCATAAGAAGAGTCAAGTCTCATGTCCTCACCCTTTTCCATTGTGAGGATGCTTTTTTAATATCAAAAATATTTGTAAATTCGCATGAGAGCTTTTATTCATTCATTGAACCGAAATGTTTGGTGTATATGTGGATTCGTTGGTTTCTTGCAGTAACTCCACAGGGGCCAGAGCCCAAAAATTGAGAATCCTTTAAGATAGCCTTTATCAACTAAATATCTTTATGATTGTTGTTATTAATTATAATTATTATTCTAATTTAGGGATTACATAGTTAAAAACTTGAAGTGTAAAGCAATGGAAGTGACTAGAAGTTCAGAAGGAAGGAGAGAGATGTGGTTAGAGAAGTGGGAACTCCTGAAAGTCAATGTTGGAGAGGTTTGAAACTTTCTACCCACATAGCTTGATGTATGGAGAATGGGTGTATTAGGGTGAAAGAAGGGGCCATACCTGGGACCCTTATCAAATCTTCACTAATTCACTTAATAAATAATTGAATTGCTAGACATTAGGCATGCACAGTGATAAACAAAACAGACTTTTACTCTGCCCTTAAGGAGTTTGTCCCTAGCCTGAGTAAAATAGGCTTGGATTGCAGGTGTTCAACTGAGTTTCTCTTCTTCTACGAATAGAGCATGTAGACTTTCTGAGCTGTGGCAAACTTAATAGTTCAAAAGTGAAATTTTTGGTAAAATATTATTAGAAAGCAGCATAGTGTACTGGTTAAGAACACAGAATTGCATGCCAAACTGCCTGGGTTTGGATCCTAACTGCTACTTCCTAGTTTGATGACCTTGGGCAAAGTTTTAAAGTAGCCTATGACTCATTCGACTCTGTAAAATGAGATGGTAAATGTTGTTACTGTTAGATGCCTTTGAGTCGATTTTGACTCATTGCAACTCCATGTGACAGAGTAGAACTGCCCCATAGGATTTCTAGGCTGTAATCTTTATGGGAGCAGATCACCAGGTCTTCCTCCCACAGAGCTGCTGGGTGGGTTCAAACCACCAACTTTTTGGTTACCAGCTGAGCACTAAACCATTGAGCCACCAGGGCTCTTTGAGTTGATAATAATAGTACCTATATCATTGGGCTAGTGTAAAGATTAATTGGCAATCAACCTATACGTCAATAGGAGCCCTGGTGGAGCAGTGGTTAAGAACTCGGCTGCTAACCAAAAGATTAGCAGCTCGATTCTACCAGTTGCTCCTTGGAAACCCTATGGGACCGTTCTACTCTGTCCTACAGGGTTGCTATGAGTCAGGATCGACTGGATGACAGCGGGTTTTTTTGGTTTTAGTAAGCCCTATGTAGTAGGAGTTCCTGGGTGGGTACAAATGGTTAAGCGCTCAACTACTAACTGAAAGGTAAGTGGTTCGAACTAACCCAGAAGCATCTTGGAAGAAAAGCCTGGTGATCTACTTCCAAAAATTCATAGCCTCGAAAATTCTATGGAGCACAATTCTACTCTGCAACACATGGGGTCATCATGAATCAGAATCAAATTGCTGGCAACTGGTTTGGTTTTGGTTTTTAAGCCCTATGTGTTTGTTAAATAAAGGATGCAATTTGTTTTTGTTTTATTTTTATTTTTTAAGAGAGTCATACTTATGGCCATTGGTTTGTATAAATTCAATCAAATTTTGTCTCTCTCTGGCAGTACACAATACAGGGGAAACTAGCACAACTTGTACAAGGAAAGGTCATGGAAGCCCCATAGACACATCCAAACTCCCCGAGGGACTATACTGCTGGGCGGAGGGCTGTGGGGACCATGGTCTCAGGGAACATCTAGCTCAATTGGCATGACACAGCTTATAAAGACAATGCTCTACATTCTACCTTGGTGAGTAGTGTCTGGGGTCTTAAAAGCCTGTGAGCGGCCATCTAAGATACTCCACTGGTCTCATCCCTTCGGGAGCAAGGGAGAATGAAAAGAACAGGATACAAGGAAAAGATTAGTCCAAAGGACTAATTGTCCACAGCTACCAAGGCCTCCACCAGACTGAGTCCAGTACAGCTAGATGGTGCCCGGCTACCACCACTGACTACTCTGACCAGGATCACAACAGAGGGTTCTGGACAGAGCTGGAGAAGGATGTAGAACATAATTCTATCTCACAAAAAAAAGACCAGATTTACTGGCCTAAAGGAGCCTGGAGAAACCCTGAGAGTATGGCCCCCAGACTCCCTTTTAGCTCAGTGGTGAAGTTATCTCCGAGGTTCACCATTCAGCCTGGGAGTGGACAGCCCTGTAAAACCAAATGAGACTAACGAGGTACCGTAGTCCAGTGACAAGGGCAGAAGGGGACAAGGAAGCTGGTGATAGGGAACTCAAGGTTGAGTAAGGATATTGTTGTGTTGTGAGATTGTTAACCATTGTCATAGGGCAACATTTGTAGTAACTGTTAAATGAGAAACTATTTTGTTCTGTAAGCCTTCATCTTAAGTGAGAATAAGTGCACAATTGGAAGAGCGTAGTCAATGTCACTGAACTGTGCATGCAGAAATTTTTGAAATGCTGTATCTTTGGCTATGTGTATTTTCACCAAAAAGAAAGGTTGAGAAGTTAGAGGGTTAATATGTTGTGGGTTGTTAACCAAAGTCATAAACAATATGTGTACTACTGTTTCATGAGAAACTATTTGTTCTGTAAGCCTTCACCTGAAGTACAATAAAAAAAAAATTTTTGTCTCTCTCTGGAGGTAATGTCAGAGTCAGGTGACATAATAGCTGGTGAATGGACCAGCCATAGGCATATAATACATGAGAGTCTTCTTGTTTGAGTACAGATATGTCAGGGGGAGGGAAAGAATGAGAGCACATTTAAACACCCTCAGAGACCAAGGCTATTTTGTAGACTCTTAGTGCTTGGATCTTTAGGATCATGCAGTTTAACAAAACTATGCATTTTTATAGATGAGGAAACCACAACTGGGGAAGTTATGTGATTTGTACACCTCACACAGCTAGGAGCTCTTCCCACTAAAATTGCCTTGTCTCTCTGGCCCTGGAGACCCAGTTCTTGTTTATATAAGTGTCCTGGGCTCTGTGTGTCTCTATGGCTCATCATAATGTCAAGAGATGTAGCCATAAACCTGGCGTATAATAAAAGTGTACACATCCTTTACCTTTTGTCTCTCTTCTCTACCCTCTTTAGCTATTCACACCATTGCACATCTGTTTAATGTGGAGTGGTGTGTGAACGCCCGTGTCAACAATTCTGATCCTTATTCAATAGCACTCTCTAACATTGGAGATAAGCCCGGTGAAACTTATCTCAATTTTGCTCGCAAGAGAATCAAGGTAAGCCTCTGATTTCCTGATTCAGATGTTCCCTAGGCCATTAAAACTAAAGGCTAGATTTCAGTGAGTGAAGCACTCTACTCAGTCAGAACAACAACAAAACATTGACTAACCCTCAGAGAGACAGGGCTGTAGGTGATAAAGATGTGGGGTGCAGAGAAGATGTCTCTCACATTACTGATCTCGTGTGTGGATGGTCTTTACATGTACTGCAGGTCCTTAAACTCACCTGTGAGAATGTGTGTACATGGAACCTGGAATAACTCAGTAATTCTCTGCTCACTCAAGATGGTGCCTGCCAATCAGAGAAGGCTAGGAACACATGTGTAGTCAAAAAAAATTGGGTTTATTGTTGCAGCAAAAGAGAACTCACACAGTGAGGAAGTCCACAGTATCTCGAGAGGGTATTAAGAAGGACTTGTTATAGAATTTGGGCTGGTGTTGGGTGATTTTAGGGTGGGTTTAAGGAAGCAGAGATTTGCTCTGGATTGGGTATAGTCAAGAATTGGGAGTAGTTCTAGGATTGGGTATATTAATTTTTTTTTCTAGGTGGCAGAAGGAATGGAATATGGGGTAAAGCTGTAATAGGTAAAGAAGCAGCAGTCACCCATGTTTTTGTCTTAGCTCAGACATGATTGTAGAGTGGTTTTGTTTTTGTCTCACTCCATCACAATCACAGTGTGACCTTGTCTGATTTTGGTCTTCTGTAAACTTGTTTATGTTAAATAGGAAACACCCTATCCTAGGTGTTAGTACCAGGCCAGCCACCAGCTGTCAGCTGTCAGGGATGCTTTTGTTCTTTCTTACCTACAACATCTTAGGGGCGGACTATATCAGCTAATTGGCATTTCTTGAGAAGCATAGTGCAGTTCTCCAGGAGCAGCTGTGAGGACATCCAGAGGCAGAGACTTCTCCTCTCTTCCCCCAAGCAGTCATTGACGCTTTCTACACTCAGAAGCTTCAAGTCATCACTATGTGCCCTGTGGCTCAGGAGGATGGCTGAATCACATTACTATACTCCAACTTCCAAACATTTTTCCTTGTGCTTAGAAAAGACTACAAGGGGAAACCCCTAATTTTGCAAAAAATATTATCCTCTGGCTAACATGAGAAAAGCTTGCCTAGACTACTTGGGGACAGAATTAAACTGAACAGCATAACAAAACAATTTTTTTTTCCCACAATGTCTTGGATAATTTTCCTTTTATGTTTGTTCATTGTTTGTACAATGATATAAAAGGGTGGCAATGTGAACATACTAGGTGAGTAGACACTACTGTGCTCTGCCTAAATCCCCATGGGTCACTTGTACTGTCTGTGCCCCCTCCCATTCTGTGTCCTTTTGCTTTCAATGGTTTGTACCTGTGTTCCTTCCTCAGAGGACTGCCTTGGGGATACTGGATTCCTTTTGCCCACAGGCTCAGAGCTCTGAAAGGGCCTGGATGGTTACTTCTCCCTAGACAGCCCTTAGCGAGTGACTGATAGGTACAGGCCATGAAAGCCAAGCTCCCTTGCCTGGAGTCAGGACAAACCCTGAGGTGTAACACCCTCCAGAGCTCCCCTGCAGGGTCAGGCCCAAGCTACCCTCCATGAGACTCTGCCTGAGATCACTCCCTGCTTGACTTTTTCCTCTTTCTTGTCCTGTTCTCTATTCCCACACCAGTTTCTCCTGGAAGCACACCATTTATAAATCAGTTGTCCATGAATCTACACCTCATGGTCTGCTTCTGGGAAACCCAACCTAAGCTGTTAGGCGTGCCCAGAATATATTTGCAAACTATACACTGTGGCCATTAATTCCAGATCAAAGGGAGAAAGAGCTTCAGACATTTTTAGGGTATCTTATAGTCAACTGATTTCCTTTATTTGTTACTCTCTTAGAGCTATTTCAGGATATCAATTCATATTGCCTATGACACCTCAACCATGTAAACCTTTTTTAAAATTTAGAAATATCGATTCCAAGTCTATTATCTCTCTGTGAGGGGATGATTAGGACTATCAAAAGGGGGCATGAAAATATGTATTTTTCTATACACTAGACATTTCATAAATAGGTAGTCCTGCATATGAGAGCCTATAAATAATGTGTGTGTGTTTGTATTTTCTAGAATCCGGAAGGAGGTCTATACGTGGCTGTGACTCTGTTGGCAGGCATCACTGGAATTGTCATCACATTGTGCCTCATATTAATTATCACCTCCTCTACCAAAACCATCCGAAGATCCTACTTTGAAGTGTTTTGGTACACACACCATCTTTTTGTGATCTTCTTCATCGGTCTTGCCATTCATGGAGCTCAGTGAGTGTTTAAACTCCAAGGCCAAATACTTTCCACTCCTTAGTTTCTAGGCGGGATGCTGTGTTAGAGGCACAGTGATCGCCTTGCCTGTGTGTGGTCAGCCCAACCGCCAAGGGAATGTGAGGGGACAGCGGAGGTCAGCTTGATAGAAACTTCTCAGCAGCACTTCAGTTTCTTCCACCCAGTTAATTGCTATTCCTAGTGCTGTTATTTATAGCAATTGTGGAAAAATACACCAAAGTCTGAGTATCTTTGCAAGTGTATAAAACATGTTGAGAGCACTGGTGGGGTCCTGGATGTCTGTGGCAATGTTTCCTGTGGCTTATTCGCTACTAACCTAGACAAACTCCCAAACTAGAGGGATTAATGATTAATCAGTTGAAGGGGTTTGCTGTAGTTCAATGAGTTTGATTCAAGCCAACACTCGTTTATTGGTTGCCTACTGTGTATGAGGACCAATCTCAGGCCCTGTGGGGAACACTAGAAGGAAAAATACATGAGTATTGCCTTCAAATATCCTACTACAATAAAGGTAACAGTTAACCTCTATTGAGCGCTTGTTCTATGTCAGGCTCTGTGCTAAGGGTTTGACATGGAATGTTTCTTTTAATCATCAAAATGTATAGATGTTCTTACCATCCCCATTTTATAGACAAGGAAAGTGAGGCTACAAACAGTAAAATAAGTAGCCTAAGTCACCCAGCTGGTAAGTGGCATGTTGGGATTAGAGCCCAGATGGTCTAAGACAGGCTGTGATAAATGCTCTAATAGAGACACACAGCACCTGGGTGTGTGGGTGGGCGAGTTTGCCTTATTAGGAATCCTCTTTAATACTAGGTTTCCTTTTTATGCTGTTTCACATTAGCTGATTCTCCCACCTGCACACAGAGGCAGGCCTGGGGAAATTCCCTGGTGGGCATGGAGCCCCTAGAAGCTAGTAGAAGGGGAAGTAGGTGCTAAAACACAATGACACTGCTCAGAGCCGGCAGCCTAGAGGAGGTCATGACCTGACTGTGAAAAGCGGAAGGGTGGGAGAGGCAGCATTGGGCAAACACTTGTGTACTTTCTTGATCAGCTTGCTGACTCTGACCCCTGATAATACTCTTTCTAAATATTGAAAAATCAGTGTAGACAAAGAATTTCTTGACTCTCTTTAAGCAATCGAGTATCTCTAAATGGGATTTAGTCATAATCCCAGCTGTTTCAGAAAATTCTAGAAAAGAGACGGTATTTCTTCCTCTCTCTAGCTTAGTAATACTACCACTTTACTCTTGTATAATTTCACAGATATTCATCTTCCTTTGGAGTAGGCAGAGCAGATATTGTTACCCCATTCTTCGTTGAGGATAATCTGATATTAAAACTAGTTAGGTGATTGCTCACAGTCTCATGGTTGGGTGAAGTCTAAACTGGGATTAAAAATCTAGGTTTCCTGACTCCTGGTCCTAGCATTGAGAAGTAAAGGAGAAAAACAGATTTTTTTTTCTATCATTTACTCTCCATGTGAACTTGGGCATAAAGAACTTTAATAGTTATCATTTATTGCACTCTGTGTCTGGCATTTTTTGTATATCATGACATTTAATTACTAAAGTAAACTTTAATTAGGTACTATTATACCTGTTCTATAGCTGAAGAATCTGAGGCTCAAGAAAAGGTTAAGTAACTTGCCTAAGGTTACCAAACTAGTAAGTGGTGGAACTGAGATTTGACTGGCTCTGGTCCAGAATTCTTTCCACCAAATCATTCTGCTTCAAGTTATCTGGCTTCTCTAAGCCTTGATGTTCCCATATATAAAATGAGGCTAATAATAACTACCTCTGAGGCTTGTTGTGAGGGTTAAATGAGATAATTTGTGTATAGTGCCTTATTTTGGCCTGGCAAATAATAGGTGCTCAATTCACGGTAATTCTCTTCCTTAAGACCCAGGAATAGAAAACTTCACTGAAAACCCACTGCCATTGAGTCGATTCAACTCATAGGGACCCTATAGGACAGAGTAGATCTGCCCCATAGGGTTTTCAAGGCTGTAATCTTTACGGAAGCAGACTGCCACATCTTTCTTCCATGGAGCGGCTGGCTGGTGGGTTCAAACCACCGACCTTTTGGTTAGCAGCCAAGCAGTTAAACACTGTGCCACCAGGGTTCCTTCAGGAATAGAATGGAGTAGTTAATTATCTTGAGTTAAAACATTCTCAGAATATACTAAATGGCATGATAAATTTTTCCCCAAAATAAAATTTACAAAGAGCCATGTGTGTTCCTTTTTATCATATATTCTGAAGGCAGTCGTTTATGTTCCTTGAGGACAAGGACATGACTTATTTGACTTTGTGCCCCCTCCCCCACCCCCACTGAAAAACCCAGCATTGACTTATGTTTTAGTAGTTGCTCAATTAATATTGATTGAATTGAGGTGAATGGGCTCTGGGCACGTCAACAGACACACTATCAGTACTAATATCTGTGAGAACTTTATATTCCCCCTAAAGTTAAGTCTTCTTAAATCAATTTTGAACTTGTGGTGTAACTTAAGACAGTTTTTGAACCAATAAATGAAGCACTTCCACTAAACCTCAGGGCTGCTAAGCCTCATAGCATTTCTGCTAAGTTATAGGGCTACTTATATAGGTTGTCCACTGCTCAATGGTACCTGGACAAGGGGGCTAAAAATTAGCCCACACTCTTCTGGCCAAGGCCTTTGCCTATAGGACTGTCCTCACAAAGGGGCACTTTTTCTAACTTGCACAAAGGCACTGTGTGGGCTAGCAGTAACCCCATTAGATTTGTAGTTTTTTTGTTTTTCTTTCTTTGTAAATGAAAATGATACTTGAGACAGAAGCACAGATACTCCCTTGAAGAAAACATGTATTTATAATCCCAGACTTATCCTCTATAATGTTACACATAACTATCCATTGTACCACTCTACATGTTGGATTATTGTTTCTTTTTTAATATTGGTGACAATCATATATTTTCTTTCCCTTCGCTTAATCTATTTGGAAGGAGCAGTACGATATCTCTTTTAAGTAAATGTACAGGACCCACATTAGAGTACTTAAAACCTGCCCAGAATCTCCAGAAACAGAGAGCTTAATGTTTTCCTACTGAATGACCTGAACTTATATTTTATCCCCAGACGAATTGTACGTGGACAGACTGCAGATAGTTTGAAGGTGCACGACCCAAAAGTGTGTTCTCAAAATATCTCAGACTGGGGGAAAATAAAAGAATGCCCAATTCCAGAATTTGCTGGGAACCCTCCTATGGTATGTATGATTTCACTGTTGCTATTATAGTTTTATTACTGACTGTAAAAATGGCCTGGCAGGAATGTCTGACCTCCTCTAACTTCACAAGGGGGAGAGAGAATTATTATCAACAGCTCAAGGCTGATTCCTATGAGGCAAAGCTCAGACATACTCCTCTGTGTCATCTTTACCAGTTCTGACATCAACCATCCCTCCCACGGCACTCTCTACTTCTCTGCTGGGTTTGATAATTCGTCGCAATGGCCACACAGAACTCACAGACAATACTCACAATTATGAAGATTATTAGGGAAGTAACAGGTTAAAATCCAGGTTCAGGAACACTCAGGATACAGTTCTTCCATCAGGACAGCCTCTTCTCAGCTGTGCCTGCATGCACACCTCTCTCTGGCTCCTCGCCTCTGCCCTGCTCTTGCAAGTGTTACAAAGTTCTTTTACCTCTGCCGATAAGTGCCCAGAGGTGCCCCACTTTGCCAGGAAGCCTCCTGTCTGAAGGCACTCAGCTTTCTTATTCCATGGGCCAGGAAGCCCACCATCTCCTGCCAGTCTCCGGGTTCCTGCTGTCTCGGGCTGCCATCTTTCACTGTCTTCTGTGTTACAGTTTCTCTCTCTGTCTCCTGGATCTAGGAGGTTCTCAGAACAGGGATCCCGGGACCAAAGGACAAGCTCCACTCCTGGTTCTTTTTTCTTGATGGTGGTGAGATCTTCCCTTCCTGCCTCTGGGATGTCTCATTTTAAGCCTAGTGGGATGGCAACACTGACAAATCCCCTCCTTAGGGTTCCATATACCTTATTTGCATGTCCCACCCCCACAAGGGTACCATGCAACTTATTTACATTATTAGCAAGCTATCCCCTTGGTGGGCCACAAGCACCTCATTTGCATAGTCCCACCCAGTCATTTGATGGGAGTTACAAAGACTATGGCTAGATGGGCCATATTAAGTAATTCATTGCACCTCACTGACAATCTTCAAACTGTGTCTAAGAAACTCCACCAAATGTCATAGAGTTGTGCCTTACAAATGCCATGAAACTGCTAGGAGGTTACAAGTATCTACTATTCTCTGCTCTACTTATTGGCCAGAGTTATTTCTTGAAAAATAAGCTTTCCATTGGTCTGTTATCAATGTCCTGATATAAAACATGGACAACACGGTGTTTTTAAAAGCCCTATTTGGATCTCTCTCTTCTTTACTGGGTGCGAGGGCCATAATAACAGTAGTTAATTATTTTTGGAGGGACATTTTGGGATTCCATTCTAAGTTGAGTTGAATAGCTCAGATAATCGCTTATAAGGACCTGGGAGCCTCTTCAGATGCCATGAAGTAAGACTTTGTATACAGCTTTCAGAACTGGGAAGGAAATTGGTAAGGTGGCACCTAGGGCTGCCATTAAGCTTCATCAGGCCTTGTCTATGAGCCATAAAGGAGGCTAGACAGCCAGGTTCACACCAACACCCATGGGGCTGCATGATAGGGTGGGAGTGCGGCAATAGTGACCAAGGGAGAACATAGTGAAACAAACAGTTCTCTTCTTCTGCAGAGAGTTCTGAAGGATTCTACTTTGTGTATAATCGATATCTGTGATCCATAGAGTGAGAAGCGGGCCCTGTAACCATCATACCTTTTCATCCTGCATTGGTAGTCAGTATACTTTATTGCTACCCATTGTTATGTATAAAAAAAGGAAACTTTGTACAGAGACTCTGAACAGGATTATTGTTTTTTCCTTAAGCATAGTAACAACACAAAGGCAAGTTTCCCATTCCATTTTCTCCTTTCTTTTATCCTATTCTCCTAGTATAGTACTTGCCTCAGCCAGAGGTGGTGAGGATTAAGTGCAACAGTTGTTGTGGTTGGGTGATATTGAGTCGATTTTCAACTCATAGTGACCCCATGTGATAGAGTAGAACTGCCCTATAGTGTTTTCTAGGCTGTAATCTTTACTGGAGCAGATTGCCAGGCCGTTTTCCAGTGGAGCCACTGGGTGAGTTCAAATCGCCAACCTTTCTGTTAGCAGCCGAGCATTTGACTGTTGGAGCTACCAGAGCTCATTTCATTCTGTTGTACATAGTGTCCCTGTGAGTTAGAACCGACTCACTTAACAGCAGCTCCTAGTACAGGAGTATTCTTCCTCTAGACTCAGCATGGTGTCTGATGACTTAAAAGCCTTAAGCAGCCTTGCCCGTTAACGAGAGTCACCATACACATCAGTGAGCTGCTCCCACTACATGCAGACACCAACAGAAAGGAAAAAGGAGCAACTATATTCTTGGTCCTCCAATGGGCTGGGGGAAGGCACGATGACTTGATGACAGTTGGAGTCAGAATGGAGCCCTGATGGTGCAGTGGTTAAGAGCTCAGTTGCTAACCAAAAAGTCGGCAGTTTGAATCCACCACCCACTCCCTGGAAACCCGGTGGGGCAGTTCTACTCTGTCCTGTTGTTGTTGTGTGCCATCGAGTCAATTCTGACTCGTAGCGAACCCTATAGGACAGAGTAGAACTGTAGAGCTCTTAACCACTTCGACACCAGGGCTCCTACTCTGTCCTATAGGGTCACTATGAGTCAGAATCGACTCGACGGCAAAGGGTTTGGTTTTTGGGGTTTTGGAGTCAGAATAGTACTACCTTAACAGGCATCTACCTTAAAGGAGCTTCTGGCTTTCTGAGAATATTAGAGGCCAGGTCCAAGCAATGGCTCCATTGAATGGGACCCCATGATGGCACCCAGGAAATAGATGATAGGAGACTGTTATAAAGGCTTGTTACATGAAAATGAAGGCCAGTAGCTAACTTTCTTGACCTTTGGGGCAGATATTCTTCAACTTTGGGTGGAGATACAGGACATTTATATGCTCTCAACTTTCTACAGTAAATTTCTGAAAAAAAATTAATAGAAAGATCATATGTGAGACTGTAAGAGGCATACCCTGATTTAATCCTCTTTGGAATCCTTTCTGGGAAGTCACATTTTTAGGTGGTATTGTCTTCTAAAATTTATTGTTTCTTCAGGTATTACACTAGGAACTTAACTTGTTTAGTCACAAGATGAATCTGTTTGTGCTAAATGTTTTTATATAGCCAACAATGCTACAGAGTAATTTCAGTATTTTGAAACACTGTACATTCTGGCAAAAGGGGTTGTTGAGAAATCTGAAAATCTTTTGGTTTGTTCTCATTCAGCTAGTGCAATGCATAGCTTCCAGAACTTTCTAGAATATTGGAGAAACAGCTAAATTCTTGCACAAAATTTGTAATCTTTCAAGAGTTTAAACTCTGTCTATGGCCAAGAGAAAGAATTGCAATATTGCATTAAAAACTATGGTGTGGCTGAAATGCTATCCTTTAGAGAAATATTCATTCCGAAACCAACCCTGCTTTGTTGTAGTTTATTGCTACTGCAGTTGTGACACTGAGAGGAAATCCCATTCTTGTGGGCAGTTCCTCTTGGGAAAGTTTCATACTGTAGATTTAGTTCCCCAATGGGGCCAAGGAAAATGTTCATTTTCATGGGCTCAAAAATTTATTTTAATTTCAGATACTTCTCATGTGTTCTGTTGTAGAAGAAATTTACTAATCTAGTTATCAAATATTTAAACAAACCTACAGAGATTACCTTGATTTTAAAATTTTTGTTTCTATGAATCTTTTCTTTACTAGCTACCACTCCTTACCACACTCTTGTTCTTGTTTTTGCTCTGATTACAGACTTGGAAATGGATAGTGGGTCCCATGTTCCTGTATCTCTGTGAGAGGTTGGTCCGGTTTTGGCGATCTCAACAGAAAGTGGTCATCACAAAGGTATTGGTTGGCTTAGGAATTACTAGTAGTCACTATCTAACTACTTCATGGATAAGTCTACCCGAGTGTTCTATATCATTGATCACAGGTATCTTGCACCCAGTTTATTTTGATTAAACTTATGGCAGAGAGTAGACCTATAGTTTATTTCAGTGGAGTTAGCTTGAGAGTCAAATGGTTATTTAGAGCCTTTTAACCAGGGAAACTTGAAGTTACCATTTTCTGTTGTAAAATGAAGCCAAGTGCTTTGTGTGCATGAATGTGTGTGTGTGTGTGTGTGTGTGTGTGTGTGTGTGTGTGTGTGTACAGGGGAGGGGCATAGAGGGATTATGTGGTTAGTTAAGAGTGGGTAGGCAAAAAGAATCCGTTCAAAAAGACATAAATTGAACCTTAAATTATTCAGATTTACAAAAAATCAGGGGACCAAGGGCAGGTCTGATTGAGGTTAAGATTATTTCCCAGGTCCTCTTTCCTTTACCTCCTTTTTTGTGTATGATACGTAATCATAGACTACCAGAGTTGAAGTGCCGAAAGTCTCAAGCACGTTAGTAACTAAGCTGTATCCAGAACTGGGTCTCCTAATTCCAGTTCTTGAGTGTTTATCTTCTCATTCTGCTGTGACGCTTCTTATTGCAAAATAAATAAATATCCAGCTAAATAAATATAAATGGAAACTCCTTGTTATAGTTTCAGGAAACACCAGGAAACACTATTTTTTACCAACTACAATTTAATTCAACTCAACTCAGTTCAAAACGTATTTACCAAAACCTATTACGGGTTATTTTTATAAAACACACAAATTCCTCCATTGTATCTTTCTCTCTTAGCATCTATGAAGAGCCACAGTAAAGTTAGTCCAACTGGAATAAGAAATCTTGAAATACAGGAAACCACAACAGTTCTCCTTTTATAATATTTATATTATGCTATAAAAGAAATCCCACAGATCAGCAAAACGTGCTGCCGCAAAATTTCGCTTACTAGACTAGAGACGACTGAACTAGACGAGTATTTCCTTAAACAAGTTTCTAAGATAACTTTGTTTTCCTGTGAAGGAAATACTCATTTTCTGCTCATATAAACAAACATAAGAAACAAGGTGTTATCTAAAAGGATTCCAGTGAGAGTGTTGTCAGCTAGTACTTTTTATTTTGTTAAATCCTATTTGTGCCTGTGGTAGCAAAATCATAACATGGTAAATATAATATTCAACACACAAAATTGTAACATGGTAAATATTCAACATAATTTTCATAAATTTTGATTTTTTTTTGTTTGTCAAAATGAGGCTTTACAACTGCTTTGTTCAGAGCAAAAAGGAAGTTAGTTACAGCTTTTTCATATGATATACATTTAAATCATGAGTTCTAGAAACGTTTGGCAGTTTTTATTAAAAGTATTTCCCACTCTTTGATAGCCTCTTCCCCCACCACCCCCCCTGCAAGAAAAGCCCAGTAATATCAGTCAGCATTAGGAAGCTGTTCTTTTGTTTGTATTTTTTTCCTTCAATGTTCCTAGATTTGTCTTTAGTTATACATATAAAGTCCCTTCCAGAGGTATTAGGAATTATCAGAGAAACAGTATATTACTTTCTATATTGCAGTGAGAGCTCTTTACTGTAACCTGTTTTTAAAAATCGTATATTCATTTACCAATTAATGGGCCTTTTAGATGTTTTCCATTTTTTACTATTATGAATAAAGCTGTTATGACTTCTCATATACATGGAGAATGATGATGGCAATGAGTGGGTAGGACCTGGCTTGGTGAGAAATGGATGGTGTACTCCCCAGGTAGGGAGAAATGTAGAACCAAATCAAGGAATCAAGCAGGTTCAAGGTGTGATTCAGGACAAAGATAGACCAGCGTGATTAGGTTTGGTTTGGAGGATATTACTATACAACTAGCCAATGAGATCTTCTTCTGTCCAGATGCCAATAACCCTCGCTCATCCCCTAAGGTCTGGGGTGATAGGAAAGCTGAGCTGGGAATTATCCCTTCTTTCTATTTCTAGCACCTTCCTGACTTAGATAAGAAAAAATTACAGTAGGCTCATGTCTTAGGTTAGATTCCCAGGAAACAGATTCTGAGACAGAATTGATTGCGGAAGTTTATTGGGCCGTGTTCTCAGGAGATGAGCCTAAAGAGGACATCAAAAGAACGAAAAGTAAATAGAAGCAAAATAACAGCTTGCTAATGCTGACTGATATTACTGGGCTTTTCTTTGGGTGGCGGGTGGGGGGGGTGGCAGTTAAAGAGTGGGAAATCCTTTTAATAAAAATTGCCAAACATTTCCAGAACTCGTGATTGGGAAGAGGGAGATGCTGACCCTCAGTGTGATTGCAACTGCAGCCTTAGCTGATCTTGTGAGGAGTGCTGGAGTTGGGAGGACCCCTCGGAGTTGTCCCAAGTTGAGGAGAGGGGCCAGGCCTTTGTATCCCTGCACCAGCTAGCCATTGACCATTGGCTGCGGTGGAGGGCAGTTCCCAGTAAGAGCTACATCTGCTGGAAGAACTGCTGTGTTAGCCCTGAAGAAGAGATCTGGGTATGGCATCTTAGCTCAGGCTTCTTATCCATATGGACACAGAAAAGGCAAGTATTTGGGAAACATGTGGTTTCCAGGGCCACGTTTTTTTCCATAGGTGGTCACTCACCCTTTCAAAACCTTTGAGCTGCAGATGAAGAAGAAGGGATTCAAGATGGAGGTGGGACAATACATTTTTGTCAAGTGCCCCAAGGTGTCCAAGCTGGAGTGGCATCCCTTCACACTGACGTCTGCCCCTGAGGAAGACTTCTTTAGCATCCATATCCGCATTGTTGGGGACTGGACAGAGGGGCTGTTCAAAGCTTGTGGGTGTGATAAGCAGGAGTTTCAAGATGCCTGGAAACTACCTAAGTGAGTATATGAGTTTAGGAAAAATGGCACTAACTAGCTTCTTTTCCTCCATCTCTCTCTATACTATCTCCTGAGATTTTGATTAAAAAAACACACAGGTTCTAAGAAAATAAGTGCTATCACTGTGTTCCCCATTTTATGTGTGAGGTGTGTTTATGCATATTTTATAACTCTTATGTGAAATATAAAACATTTGAATCCAATATTAGTAATGAATACTCCCAATTTCCTTTAAGAATGTAAGGATCAAGCGCAAGATGTATTAACTTTTCCTAACATAATAATAGTGTATCTAAGATATTCTTAAAGCTTAATTGACATAAGTTCTCTGAGGGTAAGTGCCACATATTATTCTCCTTTGCCTCCTACACTACACATACCTGACATGGTATCAGCCACTTAGTGGATGCTGAAGAAAAGTTTGTTGAATGAATCAATGAATAAAACAGATGAAAAATGGTGATGTTAAATCTACAACATATTATGATGTAGGAAATTCTCACTTCATTGTGCAGTGTAAGCAGGAATTTCAACTGTGAGGTACCTTGAGAGGAGACATGGGTGTGTGGGTGTGCGTGCGTGCGTGCGTGCGCATGCACGCATGCATGTGTATGAGAGAGAAAATACCTGTGCTGAGTTACCAAATGTTCTCAGTAACCTAAAAATTTCTCTTCTTCTACCAACCCCCATGTTCACACTAAGCTGATTACTTGAAAGCTATTTCATAGAAGAAGACACCCTATAGACTCATCGTCCCAGTTTGAATCGACATGTTTCACGTCCCCCAGAGTAATGATTTGTACTCCACCCGCTCTGAACAACAAGATATTTCTGTAACTATCTCTTCTCCCATTTCCCTCCAGGATAGCAGTTGATGGGCCTTTTGGCACAGCCAGTGAAGATGTGTTCAGCTACGAGGTGGTGATGTTGGTGGGAGCAGGGATTGGGGTTACTCCCTTCGCGTCCATTCTCAAGTCAGTCTGGTACAAATATTGCAATAACGCCACCAGTCTGAGGCTCAAAAAGGTAAGTTCCTTAGTGGCTAAGAGCTAAGGCTGCTAACCAAAAGGTCGGCAGTTGGAATCCACCAGCCGCTTTTGGAAACCCTATGGGGCAGTTCCACTCTGTCCTATAGGGTCACTATGAGTCGGAATCGACTCAATGGCAATGGGTTTCCTTTTATGGAGGGCCTGGAGCAGTCATTATACTCTGCCAAGTGAGGCCTGAGGGAGTCTTCAGGGTCGAGGCTGGCAGAGACCCTGGAAAGTAAAGAAAAGCACTAGGTGGTTCCATAGTGCCAGCATACTCCTAAAAGGGCTATTTGACATTAAATGTGCTTCTATATAAGTAGGCCTATTTGTGAAAGTAAAATATTTGTACAGCATTACTGGAAATTTGGAAGAAAGAAAGTTGGAAATGAGAGATGGTATTTATAATCCGAAGCCAATAGTTCTTATTTTTGTATATGCTCTTCCAATATTTCCCACGTTTGCATACTTCTAGAAAGTTGTAATTATTGAGTGTGTATAATTTCATGTCCTACTTTTTTCAACTATTATAATAAGCATTTTTCTGTCATGACAGGTTTCATAATGATTGTTTTTAATGATTTCATCATTTTCCATCAAAAGGATATAGAATAATTTTTCTATTATTGTATGTTAAATATTGAGATTTAGTCAATTTCCAGCCCCCCAATATTCTTTGTAGGGGGAGGGGGACAGGAGACGTGTCCTTTCATGAAATTGTTACTTTCTTATGGATATATCCTCAGGAAATTAAATTTCCGGGGATTTTTTTTTTGTCACATATAAATTTGATTTCATTGCCTGATAAAGGTCATCTTTAATACGCCTTGAGTCATTCTAGTTACTGTAAAGATAAACTCTAATAGGGACATTGAGCCTGCCTTTTCATTCTCGCCTTTTACCTCTTTTCTATGTGGAGGAGGGGAGGGTAGAGCTAACTTTTTCCCTAGGGACTCTGTAGCAGGCGGGGAAGGAGTCTTGTGGCAGCCACTACTACATAGATTTCATTGGGCTTTCTGAGAGGAGATACAAAGGAAGCCAGGGATTCTGGGAGAGCAAGAGCAGAGGGAAAGTGAATGGGACCAATGGTGTTTTTTTAAGCTATGTATTTCCAAGTCCAAGCTGCATATTTACTGCGCTGCCTGTGCGAAGGCCAGAGAAGATTCATGTGAGCTAGTGTTTCTAGGCATTCTAGGCAGCAGGAAAAAGTGGGGTAGGGGTGAGGAATCTGTATGTCAATGCTGATATACCTATCCAAATTCAATCTGCTATACCTGTCTAAATCCAATCTGCTTTATGACCCACCCTCTCTCAGATCTACTTCTACTGGCTATGCCGGGACACACATGCCTTTGAGTGGTTTGCAGACCTGCTGCAGCTGCTGGAGACTCAGATGCAGGAAAGGGACAATGCCGACTTCCTCAGCTACAACATCTACCTCACTGGCTGGGATGAATCTCAGGTGAGGACAAGATCCCATGTGTCAGTTCCTTCTGGCTGAGCCCAGGGCTTACCGACTTCCCCTTGGTTATTGATGTGTTTTGTGTACTGTTCCCCCTAACCAAGGACAGTGAATGGACTTGAGTAATCCAGCACATTCACTCTCACTCAGTATCCCCATATGTTTAGACCGTTGAGATTAGATTCAAAGTTAGTATCGGGAACAGATCAAAGCTAAGTAGCCTGTTGTTAGTTGCCATGGAATCAATTCCAACTCATGGCAACCTCATGTGTACAGAGTAGAACTGCTCCATAGGTTTTTCAAGGCTGTGACCTTTTGGAAGAAGATCACCAGGCCTAATCTTCTGAGGAGCCTCTGAGTGAGTTCAAACCTGCAACCTTTCAGCTAGTAGTCAAGCACATAACCATTTATGCCACTCAGGGACTTGGGAATAAAGCCATGACTTTGCCCTTATTAGAGCAATGTGTCCACCAGGGGTCTCCAACCAGGTGGGCAAGATGAGTTGTAGGAAGAAAATATTAGTTGTCTATCTCTTTCTACGTACATATAGATATATAGACATATATCTCATCCTTTAATTTGTACTTTTATGTATGTTTTATAATATACATAATACATTTAATACATAGTAACTATGGGTTTAATTTGCTTTTGGTTATATATATATGAAGTGTACTTTCAAAAATGTTTGGAGACCACTGCTATAATAAAATAAGCCAGTGGTTTTCAAATGGGGGTGATTTTGCTCTTTCAAGGGAACACTTAGCAGTGTCTGGAGACATTTTTGTCTGTCACTACTGGGGAGGGTTTGATACTGGATAGAGGCCAGGGATGCTGCTAACCAAACCCACTCTTTGGCATCGTTGAGACAATTCTGACTCATAGCAACCCTGTAGGACAGAGGAGAACTGCCCCATAGGGTTTCCAAGGAGCGGTTGGTGGATTGGAACCACTGACCTTTGGTTAGCAGCTGAGCTCTTAACCACTGCGCCATCAGGGCTCTCGGATTCTGGTAAACATCCCACAATTCACACGATGGTCCCCCACAACAAAGAATCCGGGTTCAAATGTCAAAAGTGCTGAGGATGAGAAAGCCAGAAACAAGCTAATAATTCCTAGAGGGGCAACATTTTGTAAGTAAGCAACATTAATGACTTGGCCTGGAAGCAGCATAAGCTGTCACCCTGAGGGAGGAACTAAGAATCTCTGCCTAATTCCCTTCCAGTATCTCAGCTGGCCACACTCAGACCTGGGCTCCTCAACCCTGAGTGAGTGTGCCCTGGTTGTGAAGACTAACTTTTCATTTGGTTTTTGACATATTGTTTATCCTAGATTCTCCAAGTCTTAGAAGAGTCTTGTAGCAAATGTAACTTCAGGGACACATGACCATGAGAATTGCTGCATCAGAAAAAGAGTGGTTTCAAGATCCCATTTTTTGCAATTTAAAAACAAAACAAAACACTTGATAAAAGTGAACCCAGGAAAAAATTTTCTATAATATATGAATTGCTTTTACAGTTTTGTTATTTTAAAAAAGCCAGGCATATTTCTTAAATGGTAAATTTTATTTGCATTGAAAAAATAATTATTTTTCTTTGCAGAACTGCTCACTACAGGATTGTTAAACCAGAATAGCTAACTTTCTTAACCCCTTCCATCCCTATCATCCATCCCCTGTCCAGTGAATTTAGAATCTGATTTAATGTTTAAATAAATTTAATTAACCACTTTTATGAAAAGCACCTGTTGTTTAAACTGAGGTGCCCTGGAGTGGTAGCAGAAAACCAAAATATAGCTATATATGTGCACATGCATGCATGCATGCACACACACGCGTGTGCACACACACGCGGAAAGGCTTGGTTTGATGTATCATTATGTTTCCAAAATATGAGTGCGTTTTAATCTATGATTGCTTTAGTTCTTAATGGTTCTCATAAAGGATTGGGAGTATATTAGGGTGAGGAGAAAAAGTCAGGTGTAGCTCAGAGAGGAAAAACAGAGAATTTAAATCCTGGTCATACATCAACCAGTACCAGTTGCCGTAGAGCCAATTCCAGTTCGTGATGACCTCATGAGTTGCAGAGTAGAACTGTGCTCCATAGGTTTTTGAGGCCTTTTGGAAGCAGATCACCAGGCCTATTCTTCTGAGGCTCCTCTGGGTGGGTTCTAACCACCAAACTTTTGGTTAGTAGTTGAGCACTTTAAGCATTTGTGCCACCTAGGAACTCCTTCTCACACTTCAAAGCTCAGTTCAAATGCTGCTGCCCCGGAACTTTCCTGTATCCTCCTACCCCACCTCTCTTCTTTGCTCTCATTGGGGTTTGTGTGCCTCTTCCATGGCATTCATCACACCCTAATCTAGAGATAGGATTATTCATACTTGACCTTCATGGTCTCCCTGTCTAGACTGTAAACTGCTTGAGGGAGACCTGGATTGTTCATTTTTTAAAAACACCTTTATTGAGATATAATTTGCATACCATACAATTCACCCATTTACAGTGTACAAGTCAATGGTTTTTAGTATAGTCACAGAGTTGTGCATCCATCACGACAATGTTAGAACATTTTCATCACCACCAAAAAAATCCCCTTACCCCTTAGCAGTCACTCCCCATTTCCCCATACCTCCTAGCTTTAGGAAACCACTCATTTACCTTCTGTCTCTATATTAAATGCCTATTCTAGACATTTCATATAAATGAAATCATATAATATGTGGTCCTTTGTGACTGGCTTCCTTCACTTAGCAGAATGTTTTCAAGGTTCATTCATGTTGTAGCATGTATCGGTACTTCGTCCCTTTTTATGGCTGAATAATAATCCATTGTATGGATATACCACATTTTATTTATCCATTCATCAGTTGGTGAATATTTGTGTTGTTTCCACCTTTTGGCTATTATAAATAATGTTGCTACGAATATTTTGTTTGAACACCTGTTTTCAATTCTTTTGGGTATATACCTAGGTGTGGAACTGCTGGATTATACAATAACTTTATGTTTAGCCATTTGAGAAACTGCCAGACTGTTTAGTTTGTTCATCTTTGTTTAGTACCTTCCAGCCCTCTATCATGTTGCCTTATCCCCAATTTTTGTTGTTGTTGTTAGAGTGGCCAGTGAGAGCTTGGCTTGTGAGATACGCAAATACACCTGTGTGTGTTTTTACAGCATGTCTCATTTTTGTGAATTCATGTACTCTCCTGTAGGCCAACCACTTTGCTGTGCACCATGACGAGGAGAAAGACGTGATCACGGGCCTGAAACAAAAGACCTTGTATGGCCGTCCCAACTGGGATAATGAGTTCAAGACAATTGCAAGTCAACACCCAAAGTAAGAACCCCCCTCCCCAACCAGAGTGTTCTTGAGGCTCATGGTCTGCCTAAAGCAGCAACTCCCAAACATGACTAGATTTGTGTATTCTAAAAACTAAAGCAACCATATTGCTATGTAGCAGTTGAATTTATGCCCGATAGAAGGTTTCGGATATCTCTGAGTTTAATAAGGAGTCTTTAAATCACATCAGAATTACCTAGGGAGTTATTAAAAACAAAGATTCTCAGACCCCTGCCCCACACTTACTGAACTCTGATCCTCCCAGATATGACCACAATTCAATACAATTCTATTATTAAGGAAACGCTGTCCTTACTTTAAGTTATAGATTTGGGGTCTAAAATAAGTTGACTGAAGTACCAGGGTCCTTTCTGCCCTCACTAAAGCTTCAGTCAGCATGGAATTTTGAGGATATCCCCATCTTGCTAGAACACATGATAAACTCAAGAAATCACCATAAATACACTCTTTTAGACCAGTACTCCTTAAACACTAATGACATACAAATCACCTGGGGATCTTGTTAAACTGTGGATGCTGATTCTGATGCTCATGTTGCTGATCAAGAAGCAAGACTTTAGACTCTAAAATTTAGAGGGATGAAGCCACACCAAGTCGTTGACATAATTGGGGCACATAAAGCAGGTTTGTTACTGATTTCAAGTAGCCAGAGAAGTTTTGGGGGCACAGAGCCCTGAAGAGAAGCAGCCCACAGACTCATGAATCCACCATTTTCTCTGGTAGAAGTTTCCATAAGCTCTGCTTGGATGTTACTGTCCAGGGCAATTGACTGCCCTTTGACTCATTCAGCTGCCCCCACAAACATGACTGAACCACCATCCCACAGGATAAATCTGCCATTTGTTGGAGGAACAAAAGAGTAGAAGGGACTCTGCCCTAGGGCCTGCTATCAATAGGAAATTTCCCTACTTTTTATCCCAGATGTCTACCTCACCCCAAAGCCTGAAACTATCTTTTTATTTTTTCTTTCCCAAAAGTACAAGAATAGGAGTTTTCCTCTGTGGACCTGAAGCCTTGGCTGAAACTCTCAGTAAACAGAGCATCTCCAACTCCGAGTCTGGCCCTCGTGGAGTTCATTTTATTTTCAACAAGGAAAACTTCTAACTCATCTCTTCCACGAGGAAATAAATGTGGGTTATGCTGTCAAATGCCCAGACAAATAATGCTAGTTGATAAGCCCTGCTCCCCACTTTAAAGAAAGGAGAAAAAGAAACTACAATGTGATTTTTTTTTCCCTCAAAGGAATTTCAGAGATTGTTTGATAATGATGAGTTACATTTTTATGAGGCTTTATGGCTTCCAGATCACTTTTACAAACATTATTTCATTTTGGTTTTCCTCACAGTCATGCCATGAGGAAGATAGTGTAGGGATTCCTGGATTCATTTTTAGGATAAAGACATGGAGGCTCAAAATGGCAAATAACTAGCCTGAGATTATAAAGCTGAGACCAGATCTAGGCCACTTGACCCCAGGTTGAGTAGTCTTTCTATAATACTGCCTCAAAATTGATTTGTATACTATCAAAAGGAAGACACAAACCAGAGAGAAGCTATTCATTTTCCATTTTGTTTTATTTTGTGTTATTTTTGTTATCATTACTGTCATATTGAAGGAAATTTTCCAGATAGTTAGAGCTACTATGTGCTGAGAGTAACTCAACACATAATAGAGACAAGATTGACATCTGAGTACACTCCTGTTTACCAATACAGCAGCCTAACTGGATCAGAGATTCTTCCTGAAAAAAAGAATATAAGGCTGAATTGGAGTTAAAGTAATCCACAGAATTTACCATGGTGCTTGGCAGATAGTGGGTACTCAATGAAAGTTTGTTGAATGAATGAAAAATCCATTTAGATGCACACGATGTCAAGGTAGAATTAATATTAAGCCTTAAACAGAATTATCTAAGGAAATAACTACCTTAGATTGGAACCTGATTCTCCTGAGGGTAGAGAACAGGCTAAAAGTCTTAGCCAGTGGGATGTTCTGGAGGCTCCCTCACATCCTTATTTGAAGCTTGGAGGAAAGGGGGAAGGAGGCAGACAATTGATCTCCTGACATAATTCTGACTGGCTCCTCTAGTCTCACTCCCTGTGCTATAAAAGAAGTATAGACTGATTTACAGCCTGCAAGGGTCTCCTCCACTCAGCTTTTGTGAATTTGAAATTAAGAATTATGACCAATGTGTATCTGATATGCTTGTCTGCATTAAATAGCGTCCACCTCTTGTCCTACTTAAATACACACACACAGAATAGATCTTACGATTCTGGCTAAAGGTTTATTGTTATCATGATCATAATCATCCTGAAGTTGACATTCTAGAAACTAAAATCTCCAGCTTATTCACAGATATCGAATTCACACCAAAAAGAATGTTCTAGAAAGCCATGGTTTCAAGAAATAGTCTCCAAATCACTGTTAGTGTGACCAGAAGCAGTTTTCTTTTTCTTAGAACTGCCCTATTTCTGGGAAGTAGAAGCAGTTTCATTTGTCCCACCCTCTGGGGCCACAGATATTTAAAACTATTAAACCTTGGTAATGAAGAAGACAAAGAAGAGAGCAGGGGGAAAGACAAAAGTCAGGGTTTGAAAGAAAGGGAAGGGGAAAAGAGAATAGAAGGAAAAGGAGAAAACGCAAAAAAGACAAAAGGGAAAGTTTTAGGGACAGGGGGTCTCAGGCTGGTCAATTTCTACCCCAGATTTCTTAAAGCTTTGTTTGTATTGAAGGTAATTGAAAGATGAATATACATATTCATTTTATTTTGAGTACATATGGGATTGAATCTTTTAAATTCTATTCACAAATTTTGGTGCTGAGAGGGCATATTCAGAAGACTGAGATGAATTGGTAAGAACTCAGTTGTTCCTTGTGGTACTACTATACTTCGGGCTCCCAGGATTCCCTGGAGGCACTGAGGGTCTCTTGCTGTGGGAATGTTTTCTCTCCCAAATATCCCAGTAGCGTTTCCAACTAGAGAAACCTAGATCCATTCTGATCCCACTGCACCTCAGGTATCAGGTATTCATTCATTCAACAAATATTCATTCAACAAATATTTGTTGTGCTATTGCTACAAGTCAGGCTCTGTGATCATAGTTTCAGTTCTTTACACCAAAGTGTGAGCAAGAGAGGGAACCTCAATTATGAGGCATCTGAGAATCTTGGTGCTTTCTAAACTACGTAGCATAAGTACAACCAGCTCCATTTGTTGCTCTAAAAATGTCTCTCCAGGGTTTTCTACTTTGACACCAACACAGTTACCAAACTAGAGCTCTGCTGTGTGTTACTCTGGTTGTGAGATGAAAAATGAGTGTAAAAGTGCTTGTCATTATGAGAATTCCCTTCTTCATTCTCCCCAGCTGCCAGCCCAGCTTTTGTTTAGCATTTAATTAACAGGTACTGAGAGAACGATGAAGCATTGTTTTTAATCTCAAGGCTATGAAGGCTTTCTTAGTTTTCCTGCTTTTGCAATATTGTGCTTATGAAATACAAATATTTGATGTTGTGTATGAATAATTGGGGGTGGGGCCTTGGAAGATAATTCCCAGGAAGAATCATTAAAACTGTACAACTATTAAAATCAATGAGCCCTCTCTGTGTCTGTTAATGAATCTTGCTTTAAAGGGTTAACTTCACTAGCAAAGATGTTCTTTGCCCCTTTGGGGCTGAGATTCTTTGCATTTCTGTATCTGACAGGCCAAACACTGCAGGGTGTATGAATTGTGAAGGGAAAGCTGAGTACCAAGTTCTATGCTAATGTCCTGGGGATCCTCACAGCACTTATATAAGAGACAAGGGAAGGTCACTTCACTGTCTTGGACAAAATTTCAAAAGAGAAGAAGCCCCAGTATAAGACCATTCCCACTGACCTTTTAGGTTCTAATTTTGCAATTAGAAGTCATCAATAACATGGTGGCTATATATATATATGGTTCTGTATTGACCATTGTTCCAAATGAGTCAACCAATTACAATCCCCTAGGAAATGGATAGAGGCAACATGGTATGTTTCTCTGGGAGTTAGTAGGTGTTGTCATTGAGGGAAAGGACATTAAACCTAGAACAAATAGTAATAATAAAAATAGCTACCATTTTAGTAAATACTTCTACTATGCGAAACACACATACTTCAGCTAATTCTCAACACCCTGAGGTAGGCTTTTTGGTTCTAATTTTATTGATAAAACTTGAGAGAGTATGAATGTTCAAACAGACAAAGGTCCTACAACTAACGGGTGACTAAGTCAACATTAAATCCACATCTTTCTGGCATCAACACCCATGTTTTTTTTACTACACTAGCAGATTAGACAAGATATAAGTAACCAAGAATATTTTCAAAGTTATTGTGCCGGGTAGAGGTTATGCACTCAGAGTAGCTGGATAAAAGTGATGGTATAATCCTCTGGTTTATGCCATGTAAGTATCTTGGTATCTTAGTTTAGAAACACTGGTTAACTTGAGTGAGTAACGTTTACTTTTAAGAGAAAATAGGACATATCAAGAAGTGGAATTGTTTTTGCTTGGAGAAAAGGGTCTAGGGCTCTATTTCTTACATGCACTTTTCTGGATATTTCTGGCAGGGAATGGCTACTTATTGTTCATCATATATATAAACATATATGCAAATATATATATGAAATAAAATTGAGGAAGAAGCTAAGTATAAGAGGACAGAATTTCTGAGCTAGAAAATGTTAGGCGAAAAATAAAATTGCTGGTAGAGGCTAGGAAGCCTGACCCCTAGAGTTCTCTAAAAGATGGACAAAAATCAACCAGATGGCCTGCAATTCTGTCAAGACTATTAAAGTTCAGACAAAGGTTAAAACTAGTTCAAAGTTTTTTATTATCCTGTGTAGTTGGAGGGGGAGTTACTCTAAGCAAATGGATGTTCCAGTTAATAATTATTGATAATGGATTAGCAATTTTTAAGTTTAGAAACTAAGGTATAGGAAAAAAACTAAACCCCAATATATACTGTTTTATGGATAAAAGGAAGTACTAGGAAGGCTGTAGTCCCTGGGTGGTACAAACAGTTAACACACTCGGCTGCTAACCAAAAGATTGGCAGTTTGAGTTCTCCCAGAGGTGCCTTGGAAGAAAGCCCTGACGATCTACTTCTGAAAAATCAGCCATTGAAAACCCTGTACAGCATATTTCTACTCTGACACCTGTGGGGTCGCCAAGAGTCAAAATCGACTCCATGCCAACTGTTTTTTGTTTTTTAGGAAAGTTGAACATGAGTAGAGGCTACTATGTGTTCATTTTCTGATCTCACCCTGAGACTAACTACCTGGAGACTGTGCTTGTCTGATTTTCAGAAACACCTCAAAGTATTAGATTCTGAAACATCATCCTTTAGAGAAGACTGCTCCCAAATACAGCAAGCCTGATTGAAGTTCAAAAGGTCTTCATAAATCGCCTGCCCTGACAGGAAACACAGCAGAGAGTCCCTGATGGAGCAGGAGAAATACGGGGTGCAGAACTCAAATTCTAGTAAGAAGACCAGACTTAATGGTCTGCCTGAGACTGGAGGAACCCAGAAGGCACGGCCCCTGGATTCTCTATCAGCCCAGAACTAAAACAATTTCCGAGGCCAACTCTTCAGACAGGGACTGGACTGGACTGTGGGACATAAAGTGATACTCATGAGGAGTGTGCCTCTTAGCTCAAGTAGATACAAGAGACTAATTGGGCAGCTTCTATCTGGAGGTGAGATGGGAAGGCAGAGAGGGTTAGGAGCTGGTTGAATGGGCATGGGGAATCAGGGGTGGAAAGGAGGAGTGTGTTGTCACAGTATGGGGAAAGCAATTAGGGTCACATAACAATGTATGTATAAATTTTTGTATGGAAGACTAACTTGAAATGTAAACTTCATTTAAACTACATTAAAAAAAGGTCTTCATAAATCTTAAAATTACATTAGAATATTAAGTAATCACCAAGTTTACCACTATATTAGATCACTTTATTGCAGAACAGTGCTTCCTATTTTCAGTCATGCAATTCCCAGTTAAGTAATAATAATAACCTCCCTAACCCACCCACTCTTCTAGAAAAATATAAACATCACTCTTTTGGGTCAGATGGGGCAATTCAGGGCATAAGGAATGAACTATCTTTGTCCTTTCCGAAAGATGCTAGCAAATTTCAGAGATCCTTGTGTTGGTTGACATCATGCTAACTAAAAAAACTCCCAGGACAGATAACGGGCCTGTATTGGCTGAAAACTACCAGGGCACACGGTTGGCATGGTAGGTGTTCCAGATCAAGCTGCTGAAGGACAGCAGAACTATCTGACCATCTGTTTTCCAGTCGGGGGCTCTAGGTCATCCATGGCTGTAACATCACACTCATACATCTCAGTTGTCAACTTCTTACTGTATCCATTACCCAGTGTTTCATTCTGCTTCGGCAAATGTGCCTATGGCTTTACTGAGATCAAAGCCAACAATGAGTTTGACCACGTTCAACTCATACAGGAAGGAGACTGAAAATCAGCCTTTACGACAGGGCTTCAAACCAGTTCGAACAGGTTTAGTCATGGCCTATGAAGCAAAACTGGAACAGACCCAAACTTTTACAATTTGAGTGCTCTGGAAGGGTAACTGGAACAGGAAGAATTGCAGTCGAAGCCCTGGAATGGGAGACTTGGAAGAGGCATAGTGAGGCCCTTTCAGGAGCCTGATGCATGAGATTGGATTATTGCCAGAACCAGGACTGTGGAGAGTGACACACATTCAAAGTGGAACAGTCAGCCACCATCTTTGAGCAGGGCATCACCGTTTCTGACGTTGCTCAAAATCTGATGGGCAAAAGATTTTGTTCTAGTCAGCACATACTCTGCCCTTGTTTTCTAAGAGGGAGATTAGATTTCTAGCAGGGCTTCACCCCACAATTTCTCCTATTCAGGTTATTCTTCCATAGCACCCAAGTTTTAAAAATTTGGGTCTGTTCCAGTTTCGCTTCCTCAGCAATGACTGAACAGGACAGAACCGGTTTGAAGCCCTGCTTTAAGCATATGAGCTTTTGTAGTTTTTTTTCTTTCTAGAGAGTGATCAGCAAACTTTACTTTCTAGTTGGTATACGTAAAAACGTATCTTGAGAAATCTGCTTCCTCTTTTAGATATTATATATCAAATGGTGAGGAGATGGGAGGAGAAAAAAAGTGAAACAAGTAGATGGTATCAGCATTAACTAGAGGGAAAAAACAAGACAGAAAATATTGAAATGGATACAGTGATTACTTTCTTTAAAAAGTAAATAATGTTTAAATTGATTATAAAATGGCCCCAATTTTCCACTTCTTTTATCCACGTCCTCTGCAATGTGACTTTTCAGCTCCTTCCATCAAGAGGAGTTTATTTGCCCGCACCTTGAATCTGGGCTGCTCTTGTGACTTGTCCTGGCCAATATAATGTGGTGGAAATGATATTGTGTCAATTCCAGAGTCTTAGGCCTCAAGAAGCCTGGCATTCTTCTGTTCTCTCTTTTGTTCCTCTGCCTTTCGCATGAGAGTATGCCCAGGCTAGCCTGCTGAAGGGCAAAACATGTGCAGCAGAGCAGGGCTTCGAACCGGTGCTTCCCAGTTCAATCACGGCTGAGGAAGCGAAACCAGAACAAATCCAAATTTTTAAAATTTGGGTGAACTGTAACAGTAACCAGAATGGGAAAAATTACAGGTCGAAGCCCTGCTAGAAACCTAATCTCCCTCTTAGAAAACAAAGGCAGTGTATGTGTTGCCTGGCAACCAAATCTCTTGACCATCGGATTTTGAGCAGCGCTGGAAACGGTGCCTCCTCGCTCAAAGATAGCAGCAGACTGTGCCACTTTGAATGTATGTCGTACTCCACAGTCCTGGCAATAATCCAATCTCACGCATCAGTCTCCTAAAAGGGCTCACTACTCCTCTTTCGAGTCTCCCAATCCAGGGCTTCCCCCTAGGGCACTCAAATTGTAAAAATTTGAGTCTGTTCTGTTTTCTCATTGTTGGCCATGACTGAACCACTTTGAAGTCCTGGAGCAGCGTCAGCCTAGTAGTCCCAGCTGAGCCCCTAGTCATATGAGACAGCCCGGCTAAGATTAGCAAAACTGCTGGACAACCCACAGCTGACTGCAGAAGTGTAAGTGAGCCCAGCTAAGCCCTGCTGAGATTAACAGAACCACCTAGCTATTCTAGAGACGCATGAGAAATATTAGGTGGTGGTGGTTTTAAGCCGTTAAATTCAGGGTAGTTTGTTACACAGAAAAGCTAGTGGTACAGCTCGTATCAAAAATTGATGAGAGAGATGAAAGTATACAAAATGAGAGTTTAGTATGGATTATATTCATGCTTACACAGCATGGCCAACTCTAGGGATTGCTATGAAGAATGTATTTGCTTTTCTATGAGAAAAACACTATATCCTCTGAATTGTAATAACTTGTGTAGAGTCATAATTTCTTTGAAAGTCCCGAGGCTCGTGAAGTCCAAAGGTATTGCCATCCTAGAAAATACAGGTTATTTACTTTAAACAATTCTACCCCAACAGCTAACATTGAATTGTGTCCCCCAAAAATGTGTGTCAACTTGGCTAGGCCATGA